GTACTTAAATTTCTATACCTTAACTAATAGCTACTTATTATTAATATAATCTAGGTATTATATTATTTTTATAAATAATAGAAATAAATCTAGCTAGAAATTTAATATTAATAATATATTATTTTTTTAATAATACTTACTTAATAGAAGCCTTAATCCTAGCTAGTTATTATATATATTTAGTTTTACCTATTTTCTTTTTATTATATAAAGCTATTATTAAGTTAATAGCCTTAGCTTTATATTTAAAAAGCTTTTTATCTATTTAGCTATTTAGCTATAAGTAAAGAATTTTAACTAATCTTACTTATTTTAGTATAATAAGGTTAATTACTAGCTACTTATATTCTTTATCTACCTTACTATAGGCTTATACCTTAATATTCTAGGTAAGATAGTTATAGAAATAGTATTTATAGTATTCTTTTATATTTATTCTACTATACTATATCTACTTATTCCTAATCTTATTTATAAGTATTTAGATTCTATCCTTATATTAACTATTCTTAATTTAATACCTTCCCTACTTAAGCTTTATATACTCCTTCTCTAACTTTATAATCTTAAGGTTAAGAGGTTAATTTACCTATACTTTATTAGGTACTATATCCTAAATAGTATAAGGGTTATAAGTAAAGCTTATATATATAAATATATAAAAGAGTTAATTTTACTTCTTCTTCTCTAAGAAGGCATTCTAGAGATTAAAGTTAATAATCTTATTTAGATATATAGAGAAAAATATAATAAACTAAGGGTTATACTATATTATCTAATTATAAACTAAATCTAATATATTACCTAGTAGAGTTAGTATTAATATTAATAATAGTAATTGTTAAGGGCTAGGCTACTAAGCCTGCCCTGGTCCTTCTAGAGTGGCCGGCGTGGAGCCCCTAAAGGGGGCCCTTATAGGTGCAACTAGACAATAATCGTGCCAGTATTGTTATTACGAATCCTTTTAGCCTTGTGGTCAAGGGGGTTAGGGCTTACGCCCTTAACGGCCGCGGTGCTGGTTGCCACCAAAGCCCCTGTGGGGCTAGTCCGTTACATATAACAATACTACCCTAGGGTCATAGGTTTGAACCGTACAGTAGGTAGCCACTAAATGGAAGGTGGATTAGCGCTGCGTACGGACCTCGGCCTAGGCTCACAGGCGGTGGCTCGTCTAGGGGGTTTATGGCCTATCTATAGCGCCAGGGAGAGAGAGGGTATGTTAAGGGCTGGGCTACTAAGCCTGCCCTGGTCCTTCCAGAGTGGCCAGCGCGGAGCCCCTAAAGGGGGCCCTTATAGGTGCAACTAGATAACAATCGTGCTAGTATTGTTGTTACGAATCCTTTTAGCCTTATAGTCAAGGGGGTTAGGGCTTAAGCCCTTAACGGCTGCAGTGCTGGTTGCCACTAAAGCCCCTATAGGGCCAGTCTGTTATAGTAATAGTATATATAATCTCTAGTATACTATTTATAGTATTTACTATACCTTATTAAGTAAACCTAGGTATCTAAGCCTTTTTATAGTTAGACTCTAGGCTTTACTAGCCTATATTATAATTTAGCTTAAAGTAGAGTATTACCTTATTTTTAAATAATATTATACTATTAATATAGTAAAAAATAAAGACTTTTAATTTCTCCTTTTTCTAATAAATTAGTATATAATCTTAAGAACCTTAAATATCCTTTAAGAGTAGACTATTTATATTAGTTAGGTATAATATATTAAATATATAGTTATATAAGGCCAGTATAATAATAACTATAACTATATTAAAGATAAGCTTCCTAGTAGGTATAAAGAAAAAGATTATCCTAAATATTTTATAATTAGTAATAAGCTAGATAGTAATAAGGTAGTATATAAGATAAAATATATAGCTTTAGCTTATTATTTACTTCTTTATAGTAAATAAATTTAATAGCTATAGCTAGGATAGGCTTTTCTATAGTAAGTATTAAGAGAATATCCTTATAATAGAGAGCTTTAGAATAGCCTTTTTTAATTATCTCTTATAAGAGTATCTTATTAAGCTCTTTAGACTGCTTATCTAGTGTCTAATCTATACTACTATTACTATTTACTTCCTATATAACTTTCTAGCTAAAAAGTATTTCTCTAGAGCTATCTTTTAGGTCCTTCCTCTTATTATCTACTAACTTAGTAGGTTATACCCTAATATAATATAGGAGCTAATAGTAGCTAGTTAATTAGATATAATACTACCTAAGGCTAAAAATATTTATATTATATATAATATTAAATATTAGAATAACCTAAAGACTATTAATATTAAAGACTAACTTATTATTTATATTTAGTACTTAGAGATAGAAGTAAGGTACTAAGATAGTTTAGTAGTACTAGGCTATAGTTAATATATATAATTAAGAGCTCTAGCTTAGTAGGTTTCTATACCTTATAGACTTCCTTTATATTATTTCTATCTATATAACACCCTATAATAGTTGTGTAGAGCTAACTAGTAGATATACTCCCCTAAAGAGCCCTATAATCGCACTTTATAGTTACTATAGATAAAGAGAAAAAAATCTATTATAGTGGCGTAGCTTAGGTTAGCAATTATGGCTCGCTAGTCGCCAACATTCATCTCATTACAGTAGCTACACTAGGGTTAGCTGTGGGCTCTAAGATAGGCTTATAGGCGATCTTGGCGTACCGTTTCTATCTTCCCAAGATGCCGGAGACGTTGATCTCCGTTTCGGCAGAGTAATTCGGCTGCACGAATTGAACAGTGCTGAGACACTCCCGATTCGCGGCATACTGCTCGGCCGAGAGCGGCGCAGGCTTTACTGCTTTTTCAAGCTGCTTGGCTTTTTGAAACTGGAGGAAGTTCAGGTGGTGGTTGTCTGGAGCGTTTGCATGTCGTGTGCGGGCGACGGCGCTTGGCATCGTGGATGGATCGTGTCCGTTGATCTGGTGCGGAGGTGGCCAGGGTCGGGGGCCACATCGGACTTGGGATGATGGATGAAAGGAGAAAGAAGGGTCAACGAGGCCGCCGCCGCTCTATATACTGTAGTGTCGGCCATTCTGGTGGTAACAGCCGCCGAAATACGTGGGCAGCGAAATTAGCACACGGCCAACGAGCAACAGGAAACGGGAAGCAGGCGGGTGTGGTCGGTGGAGGGGCCAGTGGGTTGTGTAGCCAATGCCGCCAGAAGTACACGGTACCTGGCAGGGGTGCGCTCGGAGCGTGAGTCCCCTCACTGCTGTTGCCGCTAAAAACGGCGGCAGAACCCGCCAGATTTGGTGGCTCCAGCAGCGCATCTTGCATTTAAAGAGTAATAAAGAACTATTATTACTTTTAATAAGTAAGAAAGTAGGTAGCTAGAAAGAAGTAAATAAAGAATAAAGAATATAAGAATAATATATAATAAAGAATAGCTTTTTATATTTAAAAATACTAGCTTACTAATTAGTTAAAGTAAAAAAAGCTTTAAATTACTTATTAAAAAGAATAGTAATTCTATTATTTATCTATTTTAATATTAAACTATTACTTATACTATAAAATATATATTTAAGTAGTATATTATTATACTCTTTATAGAAAATAAAAAAAAGTATAAATATATTATTCTATTTTCTTTATAAAATACTTTTTTATATAAATAGCTACTTTTTATTATACTATTTATATATAATTATTTTCTTTATTCTATATTAACTTATATTTAATAATTAAAAAGTATATTATATAAAATACTATCTTAATAAAAAGGGTTATCTTATTTATATTAATAATAAATATAAATAAATAATAACCTTAAGTATTTTAAGATATAGTATTATCTTATAACTTAAATTATATAGCTTAAGACTAGGAAATAAGATATATAAATTTATTAATTATTCTTTATAGCTTTATTAAATATAAAGCTAATTTTCCTTATTATCTTTACTTTCTATTATTCCTTTATAAGCTATATTAGCTATACTACTATCTTATATAACTATATAGATGCTCTATAGCGGGGCTGGCGGAAGATGTGGGGCGAGCATAAGCTTCGACACTATCAACCATTCATTATCGGAATTTGAGGTGCTTTTTTTTAAGGAAATTACATAGGGACGAAAATGAAATCCAAAGGTTTTAATTGGTATCCAACTCCGGGTTTGACGGCTCTAGGTACTCAAATTGTTGTCTATTCAGGGCAACAGAAGGAAGTTCGGGTTCCTCAATAAATCACTTGGTATGAAGGGTAACCTCTAGTAATTCTCCAAATAGGAGAAGAAAATTAGATGGAAGAGATAACGATCCTTATGTTTTCTTACATATCTGTAACATTTACCAAAAAATCTCGTCCTGGTAGAGCTAAGCTAAACTCCTTTGCGGGCACGGCACCGTGTTGGCCTTCCCCACACGCTCCCGCACGCCGTCCTGGTAACCCGCTTCCAGGAACCGCACATTGCCTGGCTCGGGGCCGCGTGATGCCGACCGGTTGTCCCGCAGAGGGGCCGACGCCACCGGGATTGACGAGTCCGCTGGGCCGCCAAGGACACGGCGCCACAGATCTTGGACAAGGGGTGTCCTCGACGCGGGCTGACGCGGAGCTGCACAGGCGACAGCAAGCCGCCAGACGAAGAGCAGAGTGACGTGCGACCCGGCGAGCGCCGTGCAGGCGGACGCGGGCTTTGGTGGGCGCCAAGGGAGCCGCGGCGTCTGCGGCGATCATCTTTTGCGTTGAGCACGGGTGATGTCGTCGGGCTGTACGTGCAGAGGCGCACCACAATGCCACAGACGAGTTTGGCTTCGCTGCCATTCTCCGCCTGTAGGGGAGGAATCATGACCGATGGGCACACAGCAGCAAGTTTCAAGTCGGCCGTGACAGGTACCGCGCGCCTCGATGCGGCCCTTTACAACAGCCAGATCCTACGAGTCGTCGCTCTCCCATGCTGAGTGACCGGCCTTGTCTTCACATTGTGGCACATCAAACGTGTTTGGCGGGTATCTATTACATTTATGTAGACAACAAGTACATCTATCCGTCCAAGAGACCAGCGGCCAGTTTTTCGAGGTCCTCCAGCGTCTCGGGCTCCTCGGCCACCTCGAACACTTTCCCGCCCTTTTTGCTCTTCTTCTTTTTCGTCTTGCCACTGTCGAGGTCCTCGTCGTCTTGGAACCACTTCTTGGCTTTCTTCTTCGGCGGCTCCTCCTCCCCGCTCTCGTCGCCGTCTTTGCCCGCAATCGGCAGCGACCGCAGGAACTCGAGCGCTTCGTTGCTGTCCCCGCCGCCGACCAACAGCGGTGCGTCGTCCCCGTCCTCCTCGTCGCCCTCGCCTTTGCCGTCCTCGCCCAGGCGCTCTTCGCGCTCCCGCTCCTTGAGCTTCTCCTTCTTGTCGCGCTTCCGCTGCTTGGCCAGTGCCTTGTCCTCGGCGTCAGCGGCGCGCGTGCGCGCCGTCTCACCCTCGAGGAACTCGGCACGCTGGGCGTCGGCGGGACCGGCCTCCTTGAAGTCGCGCTCGCGCCGCAGCTCGTATATCTCGTGCGAGTTGCCCTCGTCGTCAAAGACGAGCTTGGAGGCGTTGCCCATGAACTTGAGCATCTTCTTCTTGGACTGGAGCGCCTTTTCGCGGCGCTTCGAGTCGATCACGTAGGGCTCCTCGCCACCGAGGCCGAAAATGACCTTGGGGCCGTCGGGGTTAACTTTCCTGGCCTCGGCATCCAGGTCGTCGTCGTTCAGGCGGCGCTTGACAGACAAGAAATCGTCATCTGAGTCGGAGTCGGCGGCCTTGTCACCATCGACCACCATCTTGCTGTAGTGAGAAGAGAGAACGTCCTGATTCGTTCGCTCAAACATTTTGTCATACTTCGTGCGGACTTCATCCTTCTTTTTCGGCTTCTTCGGTCCATCCAGGTCCATATCCGACTCAGAATCGCTAGCCATCCCTTGTCTCGAGGCATTCTTGATCTTCTTGATGTCGTCGCCCTTTTGAAACTTGATTTGCGGTGTACCAGGAAGCCCCAAGCTAGACGCATAAGCGTCCAGATCCAATTTCTTCAGGTTGAACACTTCTTTGTCTTTTTGTAAATGGATGGACCGTGTATAACTGATAAATGACTTTTGCCCCAGGTACTTGAGATCTGGGTTCTGGAAGCACATACTCTGCAAATCGTTCTTCACGCTGCGCTTCTTCTGTTCTTTGATGTTAATCATTTGGATCGGAATTTTTTTTTGCTCAAGCTTCTTGATCATGCCAGCCTCCTCACTCGTCTCGAGAAACAGTACGGCGCGACCGTTTCTCTCGAAGCGGGCAGTACGGCCTACTCTGTGAATGTAGGTATCGGTGTCTTCGGGGCAGTCAACCTGAATAACCCAGTGGACGGCCGGAAAGTCTATACCACGGGCGACGACATCTGTGGCAAACAGACATGCCTCCTTGGCTGCTCTGAATCGGTTTGTAATCTCGAGTCGCTGGACCTGCTTCTGGCGACCGTGCAAGTGCAGAAGGGGAATACCGGGCTGAAGATGTCGGAAACTCTCGTAAACGAAGCGAACCTGCTTGCCAGAGCTCAGGAACACGATGATTTTGCTCTTGAGCGACGCCTTGATGAATCCAAACAACGTGTCGAGCTTCTCGTGCAAGGGCGTAACGATGTAATGCTGCTGCAGGTTGGTCGGAGTGGCAGAGATGGCGGCTTCGTGCACCGAGACGTATTCAGGGTCTTTGAGGCTCAAGCGGGCCAGGTCAGATACCTTTTTGCTCTGCGTGGCGCTAAACATGAGCGTCTGACGCTCCTTGGGCAGGTGCTCGACCAGCGCGTCAACGTCTGCCTGGAATCCCATGTCCATGATGCGGTCGGCCTCGTCGAGGACCAGAAGCTGCAGGTTATTGGCGTCGAAGCCGGCCGTCTGGTCGAGGTGCTGCAGCATGCGGCCGGGCGTGCAGATGAGAATGTTCATGCGCGTAAGGCGCTCGGCCTCCTCCTTGAGATTCTTTCCACCAATAACCAGTCCGGCCGAGAAGCTGTGGTAGCGGCCAATCTTGCGCAGCACCTCGTAGATTTGCACCGCCAGCTCGCGCGTCGGCGAGAGCACCAGCGCGCCCAGCCCGTCGTACTCGGTCCACTGCGCGCGGTGCAGCTTCTCAAGCAGCGGAACCAGGAACGCGAGCGTCTTTCCACTGCCCGTCTTGGCCGCGCCGAGAATGTCCTTGCCCTGCAGCGCCAGCGGGATCGCGCGGGCCTGCACGTCGGTGAGGGTCTGGAAGTGCGAGGCGGACAGGCCCTTGGCGGTGGCTCGCGAGAGTGGCAGTTCGGAGAAGTTTTCGAGGTCGGCCTTGGGGTCCTATAATATCGAAAGAAGACCAGTTAGAGAGTGCAACGGCGAGGCACAGAAAACGCAACGTGAATGATGAAACCTACTAGTTCGCGAATGGCCTCCTCCAACGTGGTCAGATCGTGCTGATCTCGCTTCCGCTTGTGGTGGCGGATGTCGGTCTTGTTTTGCTTCGGCGGCCGCGACTGCCGCCCGGATGCACGAGGATTGGCAGCCATGGTGTATGTTTTGCAGTTTTTCGCTGCGGTAGTGAGGCTTGAGTGCGGTTTACGCAGTCCAAAACTTTTTTACACTCGATAAGAAAAAAGTTGTTGGCGATATGCCCCACAATCGGGTTGGTGGGGCCGGCGCGGAATCCTTCCACTGCGGTCGACTTCTACGTGCCCATGCAATAGATAATCGATCAATAAGTCATAATTAGGACATAAGGAGAGTAGAGTCACGCGATGATAGATTGAGAGAAGCAGTAAATGCATTGAATCCCCGAGTGTCCTTACTCGTTCTACTCCGGATTGGCTAAAACAGGCTATTTTTCGTCCATGGGATATCCGAGAAACGCCGTTCTTCTAAATATGTCAAAATAATGTACCTTTAAGTAAATACCAAAACATACATCTCCCTCCATCGGGCCCTAACCCCTCCTCTGTGTATTAGGAGTTCTACGGAAAGTCGTCGTGTTCATCCATGCGCTTCCCGTAAAGTCGCACCCTGTAGAAGCAGGTATGCGTCTTGGAGCCGTAGTTGCTCACGGCCCGGACAATAACATGGTCCGTGGCGACACCCAAGTTCAGCAGCTCGTCGCTCAGTCTGTGAACCTGCACGCCGTCATGCGGCTGGATATCTTCATAGACAAATTGGCCAATCTTGACGAAACGCTCCGGAAGCTTCACGGGGCTGACATTCCAGCCTAGGCCCTCTTCGTCGAGAGGGTAAATGTCTGGAAAGTGTATCGCCGAAAAGTCCCTGACGAGCTCTCGGAGGTCGGCGTCAATGTCGGCGTAGACTTCGATCTCTTTCGGTCGCGCATCCGGATCCGTCGTGGCGCCGGCGACAATGTGCTCAACCACAATATGCTGCGGGACGATGCGGTGGCCCAGCTGCACAGGCAGAATAACGCCGTGCGGGTTGCCTCTGGGGTTCTCCGAACGCGCCGCGCACCAGCAGTCGCCTTCGTCAGACCAGGGCTCGATGGCCACGCGCGGAATAGGCGTCTGTACGCCTCTCAAACCCTTCTGCTTCACATACGAGGAATCCTTCGGTGGATCAAAGGTCGGCGAAACATGTTGCGCATCTATCGTCGCGCCAGCCCCGACACCAAAGTAATTAATTTGGTGGCGTAAGACGCTGTCCCAATGCGAGTGAATCTGACCGCGTGCCATGGCTTCCAGGTTCATGTCTGCCACGGCCTTGTTGACCATGCCGTGGACGAGGGTAACGATCTCCGCCTTGCTCATGCTCTCGGGTGCCTCTTTTCCAACGAGCTCGGCAGCTTGACGGACCATGTTCTCAAGCTGAGGCTGGAGCTCCGCGACTTCTGAGCGGACTTCTGCTCGATGTGTGGCAAACTCATTTTTGAAATGGCGCAGGAATTCTTCGCGCGAGATGACTGACGAGTCTTTGTTGCTCTCGTCAATATGCTCTTTGACGATGCGCTGGAGTCGTTTATCGAACTCTCTCTGGGACCCAGCAGTCTGTATCTCGTCCAGGGCTGACCCAAGCATATCAGAAATCTTGGCGTCATTGTTCTTGATCCAGGCTTCCCAAAACCCTGCGGCACCCTGCTTCACACGTTGCTCCATGCTCTTCACTGTAGAGTCCATGGTAATATTGATCTGCTTCGTAAAAGTAGGATCTTTGTTGATGCGAGAAGCAATAGCTTTCCAGTGCGCTTCAGATGCAACCTCGTATTTGTTTCCCTTCTGCTCAAATGTGAGAAAGTCACCATCACGATGGATGAGATCCCTCAGAGCATGCCAAAACTCTTGGGCCACCACAGGTTTGCCATTCTCCAGCTGAATATGCACCAGTTTTGGCACAACTGCCTCCAACTTCTTGAGTGAGCTATCATGTAGCTTACTAGCTTGCTGTATGCGCTCAAACTCGCGCTGGTACTGCTTCAAGTATTCGTCCAAGCGAGCCAGGCCGTCATTGTCTAGTTGCGTCAGATCAGGCAACAAAGACGACCGGCCCCACGTTGGCCAGGAGAACGCAGGCAGAAACTCATGAGCCTTGCCAGTCATGGATCCCAAGTTTGGCCAGCGGATTTCAGGCATTGACAGAAGGCGATCCATGCTAAGGTCGCCACTGGCTTTGCCGAAGAGGGCAGCATGCCCCACGCTGACCAATGTGATGAGCACAATAACCGCAGCGGTGAAGTAAAGCATTGGGCCCAGCGAAGAAACCAGTCTGTCCATCAGCCTTTGCGGGAATGGGTTGCGGAGAGATCCCAAGGTGGACAAATATGCCTCACGTGCAAACCACCATGAGGCCTTGAAGTAGGTGTAAGGATTGAGTAGCTGCCACCAATTGATGTTGTCCAGCATATCGTCGCTACCATGAGGCATGCGGCGGCGAATGTGTGGCAATGATGTCAAGGGCCTTAGCCATGTCCACCCATGCTCGCCTTCGACCGACTCACTCTCGTTGGACTCTATCTCTCTCTGCATGGCATCGTCCATTTCGCTATGATCCGCTGCATAATATGAGCGAGTCGAAAATGGACTAACCGAGGCCGCAAAACTTTTCGCCTGGGCGAAAAGACTTGGGCGAGCTTCTGTTTCGTCTTCCAGCTCGCCAATCCCATGGTCCGAATTTCCACTTCGTTGACGCAGTGGTGTGCGTTGTGTGGACTCTAAACGTGCCGATAGACGCTTTCCCGCTCGCACAGTGCTCTCTACGGGTATCATTTTTCGGTCTGTGGGCAAAGACTTTGTGCCGTTGAGCCTCGGGGCAAAACTCATCTGGGGTGGGCGCCGGCTTTCAGCAGGAGATGTAGCATCTTTGGGTTGCTGAAACCCAGAAGCAATTGCTGTGCGCTTTGACTGCTTTGGTCGTCGAGGATTGCTGCGTAGCCCGGGGGTCCCTTGTGTACTTGGCGAGCTGGGTCGTTCATTTTCAAGAATTGACGATGGGCGGGGCCTTACGGGCGTTAGAGCAGGCAGCTCCGGCGAGCCAGGAAGTTGAGGCTCGGCAGTTTTCCTCTGCAACATGGCGCTGAATTTTTGGCGAGCTTCGGTAGCTGTGGTAGAAGCTGGGGCTGAGACTATTGAGGCATCGTCAAAGAATTCGCTTTCCGTTGCGAAACTGCGAATGTCGTCTGCGTCACTGTCATCCCCGGGTTCTGTCAGAGGTACAAAGTCAACTCGTGTTGAGGGCGGATCTGGTGGAAATCATTAGCAGCGTTTCGAGGCCCCAAAACGAAACGAGAGTGAGACTCACCTTGAGCTGGCTTGAATGAGGGCGGAGGCATTGAGAGCTGGTCAGCCTTTTGCCTGCTTTCTTGGTCATCGTCCTGACGTTCTGCTTCCTCTAGAAACAGGTTGGGACTTGACTGCCGGCGCTCGTCCGCAACACGCCGCTGCTCGTGCCTGTGAAGTGCGCCCTGGACTGCGCCGCTGAGGTCGACGATGTCGCCGCGCAAGACCGGTCTGGCGGGTGACGGTTCCTCGGCGGCTCCGTATGTATACTGGCGGCGCGCACTTGGGGTGCCTTCAAGGCTTGGTAGGTTGGGCTTGCGAAACTCATTTGCGTTGTCCTCGGGAACTGGTGTCGCTCTGGGGCGCTCACGAGTAACAGCACCGGGACGGCGCGGACGATAGGGGGTTCCTGGTGGTCGCATTTCGAAGTATCAAGATAGTTGAAAGAAGGATGTGCGTTTGTGAAGTGTGCGGAGAGGTGAGGATGAGATGAGGCGCGGAACCCTGGCGCGTTTTTAAGTGAGTTGAGTGAGGCGCAAGTCAGTTTTCAAATGATGATGAGGCGCCCGGGCCAGGACGGCCGAAGCCGCGATGTGGTATGCACAGACGCAGTGTGGCAAATCTAGGCGCAGTCGCCTTTGACCTATATCGAGAACCTCAATCGACCTTTGTCTTCGAGTGTATTATAAAGGCGGGATGTTGCGCAACAAAGGGCATTGGTGGTGGTGAGCCGGGCGGATAAGGTGGACCCAGCAGACCGGACGGCGCGAGAGCGTCTTTGCGAAGAAAGACGGATCCCTTTCGGCACAGACCGAGAAGATGGCTGTGTTTGCGAAAACTTCGGGTAGTAACTTGATTAAAAAGAAGATAAAGTGAGGAATTTGAGAGACAAAGGCTGCTGGCGCAGTCGAGCAAACAGAAGCCGGCCCGGGCGACTGTGATGGGTGTGTTTTGGTCGCCAATGAGGAAGCGCGACTTTGGGGGCGGCGTGTCGAGGCCGAGGATTAGGCGGAGCCGCTAGTGGCTGAGGTGGCTGGTGCTGCCCAAGTGCGGTGACCTGGACCTAATATGGCATTATCTGTTTGGCCATGGACAAGTCATATCCGATGGGTGCCTGGGGTGTCTTGTGACTGAGTTTATAACTATGTTTGTTTCGATATCACAAATTTCGGCATATCAACAATACCGGAGTTTATGCAATGTTGTGTGGCTACGCTGTCGCACAATGGTGGCTGAGGCTACCAATACCAATACTAGGTACGCTAATAACTGTCGTGCACGCTGGAAGCAGCTGGTATCACCACGGCGAACTATTGGTATGGCAGTTTAAAAAAGTTATTTTGGGCGAATATCTGAACACTCCCGGAACCTTTTGAAGATATATAAAAATCGCGATACGTTGCGACCGTCGTTGAGAATGACCACACTGCTGACCTTCCAAGGCGGTGTGCAGAAGTACATACATGGGTGAGAAGGCTCGCACAACATAGATGCAGATGACAGATGACACGCGGAGGTTTGCGGCAAGCGAGCCAATGAGAGCAATACATTATGGTCTACAGAAGACAAACCGTCTCGTCATAGGTTCATGACGATAACATGGTACCACGGTCATTGTAGCCTCGTTGTAACTACCTTGTAAGCGACAGAACCAGGTACCTACCTACCTCCTGTGATTAGTGCGCCATTAACGATTACGATAACCCGTTGACTAATTTTAGCTTCAACTGCCTGTTAATACGCCATTCCTGCAAGTGATAGCCAACTACAAACTACGGATACGTAACGAGCATTTTATCAGCATGCAGTTGGGAGTGTTGGCGTTTGGCATAGAGGGGCCACCGCTAATGATGATTGACAGGAAGCGGCTGAAGCCACGTCAATGTTCCCTGTAACTGGCTGAGTAACCCCTGTAGCCCACTACTGAGCCCCTGCAACCACTTTATTTTGCTGCCCCCCAAACAAGAGCCTGCCACTCATAAAGCTGCCCCTCGCCACCCCACCTTCCACCACATCAGGCTCCTGTCTCGCCCTTTTGTTGTTCATTCCTTTTCTTCTGCAACGCCCATTCTGCTCTGCATCTTTCGTACGCAATACGACAACCATGCCTGTTGGAACTGTCCTCGTTACCGGGTAAACAATGGCCTTTCTTCCTGTGGCCGGCCCCTCTCAGACGCGCCGGCGCAAACACCGCAGCATGGCGGGGCTAACCATTGTCGCAGTGGCACCGGCTACATTGGCTCCTTTACCACCTTGACCCTCCTCGAAAACGGTTACGATGTCGTCATTATCGACAACCTCTACAACTCGTTCGAAAATGTGCTCGATCGCATTGAGAAGCTCTGCGGACGCCGCCCTACCTTTTACAAGGTTGACTTGACCGACGAAAAGGCCATCGACGTCGTGTTGGACAAGCACCCTGAGATCGACTCTGTGATTCACTTCGCCGCCCTAAAGGTATGCGAAGATATTGCCAATATGCCTATGCGCATTCCATGGCTAACTAGATACATCCTAGGCTGTTGGCGAGTCCGGCGAGATCCCTCTCGAGTACTACCGTGTCAACGTCGGTGGCAGCATCAACCTGCTGCGCTCCATGACCCGCCATAATGTCTCTAGCATCGTCTTCTCCTCCTCTGCCACAGTCTACGGCGATGCCACCCGATTCCCCGACATGATTCCCATTCCAGAGCACTGCCCGATTGGCCCTACAAACACCTACGGCCGCACCAAGTCCACCATTGAGGACGTCATTACCGACCACGTCAACGCTGAGCGCAATAGGCTGAAGAAGGAGTGCAAGCCCTTCGAGCAGTGGAACGGTGCTCTTTTGAGATACTTTAATCCCTGTGGCTCCCACCCCAGCGGTATTATGGGCGAGGACCCCCAGGGTGTCCCGTACAACCTGCTGCCTCTGCTTGGTCAGGTTGCCACTGGCAAGCGCGAGAAGCTCCTCGTCTTTGGTGATGGTATGTAGCTGCACAAGCAGTCCCGAAGTAATCATATACTTACGATTTTATCAGACTATTCTTCTCGCGATGGCACTGCCATTCGCGACTACATCCACGTCATCGACCTTGCCAAGGGACATCTCGCTGCCCTGCAGTACCTTCGCGACAACAAGCCTGGTGTCAAAGCCTGGAACCTCGGATCCGGACGCGGCAGCACCGTCTTCGAAATGATCAAGGCCTTTAGCACTGTTGTTGGTCGCGATCTCCCGTACGAGGTTGTTGCCCGGCGCCAGGGCGATGTCCTCGATCTCACTGCCAATCCTACGCTTGCGAACCAGGAACTCAAGTGGAAGACCGAGATGCCTTTGGAAAAGGCATGTGAGGACCTATGGCGTTGGGTCAGCAACAACCCCCAGGGCTACCGACAGGAGCCCCCGGCTGAGCTGCTGAACGCCGTCCAGACACCCAAGGCCTAGATAGGGTGATTTCATAAAACAGAAGATCAGAAAGACTACACAAGCGAAACAATCTAAAGAAAGATAGAATCAGGCTAATGACAGAATGGAAGGGACGAAATGGTATCAAAAGCGCCAGAATTCGCAGAGCAAATTAATATTGAAGACAAGGGCATAGTCGCACGCTTGCTCGACGGCTGTCAACTCGCATTATATCGTGTCCTTTTCATGCTATTGCAAATAAATAATCTAGCTGATCTTAATCAGAAGCTTGCCGACCGTCTTTCGGCTCTCAATGTCTGCGTGCGCCTTGGCCACGTCCTTGAGGTCATACGTGCCGTGCTGGAGCACCTTCAGCTTACCGGAGCGAACAAACTCAAACACCTCACCAGCGTACTTTTCCAGAGCTTCATGTTCCTTGATGTATGCAAAGACAATGGGGCGGGAGAGTCTGACGTTTTTTGGGCCGAGCGTAGATCGAATATCAAAAGGCTCAACGTTGCCCGACTGCATGTCTGGGTTAGTTCATTCTCCTTTATCTTGAGAGCTGCGAGCACAGAAAAAAAAAGGTAAAGCAAAGACTTACGGCATTTCCAAGCATCACTAAGCTGCCTCCCACAGCAATAATCTCCAGGTCCTTGTGGAAAGTGGCCTTGCCAACGCCGTCGTAGATGCTGTCGGCGCCGTGGCCGCCGGTAATCTCATTGACCTTGGCGACCCAGTCGTCATTGGAGTTGATGACGTGGTCGGCGCCGAGATCCTTGACAATCTTGAGCTTCTCCTCGGAGCTTGCCGTGGCAATGACCTTGGCGCCGAGTCCCTTGAGCAGCTGCACGAGCAGCGAGCCGACGCCGCCGGCAGCCGCGTGCACAAACGCCCACTCGCCGGCCTGGGTGAGCCCCGCGCGGCGGATAAAGGTCCATGCCGTGAGGCCCTGGAGGTAGACGGCGACGGCGTCCTCGACGGTGACACCTGCGGGCACGGCGATGGCGGACGTGGCCTTGACGGTGGAGTACTCGGCGTACGTGCCGGTGCCGTTCATGTAGACGACGGTGCTGCCGACGGCGTGTGGCACGGCGACGGCGGACCCGACAGCGACGACTTCACCGGCGCCGTCTTGCCCGAGGATGCGCGGAAAGGCCGGCGACGGGTACTGGCCAGAGCGGAAGTAGGTGTCGATGAAGTTGACGCCGGCCATGCGGTTGCGCACGAGGATCTCGTCGGGCTGCGGCTGCGGCACGGGCACGTCGGTGTACTGGAGCACCTCGGGGCCGCCATTCTTGGCAATGGAGACGGCCTTCATGGTGGCGGGGACGGGAGCCATGGTGGGAGGATGGGAGTGAAAATGGCGGCGTGAGTAGAATATGGGAGAGGATGAGAAGAGGGGAGATGGAGTCGCGTGAGGTTGTTTGAGAGGGTGATGTCGTGCTTGGTAATGGACAGCTGGTGATGGTGGGGTAATGAGTAGCGAAGCTCCAGAGTTGGAGTGCGGGGGACACTTGGGCGCGCAGCGGGTGCAGAATTGACGCAGCATGTGCGCAAATATAGAAGGGATTGGCAAAGGCTTTTGGGAAATTCTGTTGAGTTGATTGGGTCTAAGGGATTGGTTCCTGTCTTGTGAGTGTCTGTTTTGTTATTGGTTCCCCAAACAAGTTGCCGTTCGCGGAGGCTCGTCCTGGTCGGATTTATAAGCAAAACCTCAATGACACAACAACTCCTCAGATAACATGTCAATCAAAAGCTCCTAGAGGCCCTTTCTTGGCTAGACACGAAAATAAAATGGAACTCTAACTCTCCTACATCAACGGAATTTTAGCTCCAGCAGAGCATGAAGGCCCGAAGTGTTGAATACCATAGGCCAAGATTACTCCGAAATTTATTCCCTTTCAACTTTTAAGCTCGATTATAATCACGGTATCAATCTCCGCATCAACGACCTGCTGAGGGTTCTTTGGAATAAAAGTATACAACTCCAGGTGCCGCCGACGCTGGACTTTTGCTGGCGGAGCAGTGTGGCTAGTATGCAGCTGGATGAGAGTTCATCCGCCTCTAACGATCATATATAGTTTGCACTATGTAACTAGTTTAGAATTAAGAATGACAGTCATCCAAAAACTCCGCGCGGCGCCCGGCTCGGGCCCTGAAGCCGAAGGAAGGCCCACCCGCGATAACGTTTGATGCGTACTCTTGAGGTAGAGAGCAACGAAGTGTTGTCTTTCCGTAGCCCTCCGTTTAGTAAATTAATTTCTGTCCAATATGGGAGTGGGGTTTCAGGGTCTCGGCCGTTTGCCGCACCTACCCATGGTCTACTCTATGGTACCTTGCTGCATCTCCTGTCCTTCACAAAATAGGAAGGAGGATTAGCGTGTCTGCTTCCCAAACAAAGGTCCCTGGATATGTCGCGTGTGATGCCCGGCCGTTGAAGTACGTTAGATTGCAGCCTGATTCACCTGATGCCAACTACCTAGTACCTATGTAGGTAGGAGGTACTAGGTAGTTGGGTAGGTAGGTAGTCAGAACCCAATCGACATGATTTTCCAGTTGCCGGTCTTGGACTATATAAGCATATTTGCAGTCTGTAGATGGGGGAATCTGAAGTGGTTTTCACTAATATGATATCCTTGCATTTTCAAATAAAATGTGGTGCAGCGCCCAAGGCTGCGTAGTATGATAATTACACCATTGCCCCGCGATCCAGCCTCCTCCTCACCCCGCCTCCCTCTGCCCCGCACATTGAAAGGCCACTTCGTCAGCCAGCATTTCACCAGCTGCAAACATAAAAATCGTTTTTGTTTCACCTCTTCCTCTTCCATCGTCGTACTCTCAGAGTTTTCCAGGACAAAATCTCGATATTACTAAACCATGGCCGCTGTGACGCAGAACACGCCCCCGCAGGCGCCGCCGCTGTTCAACCACACTCCCGAGTCCATCACCAGCTGCGCCGAGGAGCTCGCTACCCGCGCCAAGGCCATCATTGACAAGGTCGTTGCAGAAACCACTGTCGAGAACGCCACGTTTGAGAATACGCTCAAGCCTATCCTCCTAGAGGACAACCTTACTGATCCCATATCTGGCGTCATCTGCTTCTACCACTATGTCAGCCCCGACGCTGCCCTCCGCGAGGCCTCCATCAAAGCTGAGGAGAAGCTTTCGAAACTAGCTGTCGAGCTGCGCATGCGCGAGGATATTTTCCAGCGTGTCAACACCATCTACCAGAACCGCGAGGCGGCCGGCCTGGATCCCGAGGCGCTGAACATTGTTGAGAAGGAGCACAAACGGTACAGCAACAACGGTCTCTTGCTCCCAGCCGGTGTCGCACGCGATCGTTTCAAGGAGATCCAGCTTGAACTCAGCCGTTTGACTATCGAGGCTAGAAACAACTCCAACAGCGAAACGGGCGGTATCTTCTTTACTGCCGAGGAGCTGGCTGGTGTGCCCGAGACGGCCGTCAATGTGTCTGAGCTGGAAAAGGGCACAGGCGAGAATGAGGGCAAGTTCAAGGTCGGCTTCAAGCCCAATGTGAGCGTTCCCCTTATGGAACACGCCACGCGTCCTGAGACTCGTCGCGATTACTACATTGCCAAAGAAAACAAGGTACTCGTAAATGCTCTTTTATTCCTGCATACAGGCTAATAGTAAAACAGCTCAACATCAACACTCCCCTATTCAGACAGATTCTTCTTCTGAGAGACGAGGCTGCAAGACTCGTTGGCTACCAGGACCACGCCTCGCTCAGAATCTCAGAGAAAATGGCAAAGACTGCAGAGAATGTCAACTCGTTCCTAGCAGACATGCGCGATCGTGCCGCAGTCGGCTTGGAGAAGGACGTATCCCGGCTACTCGAGCACAAAAAGGCCGAGCACGAAGCTCGCAATCTTGATTACGACGGTGAATTGTACGTCTGGGACGTGGGATACTATGAGCGCATCCAAAAAGAAAAAGAGTACAGCGTGGACGAACAGGCAATCTCCGAGTACTTTTCTCTGTGGCCGACCTTTAATGGCATGCTAGACATCTTCCAGAAGCTGTTTGGCCTGCGCTTTGAGGAGCTTGACGAGGCGGCGCGCGCCAAAGCCAGCCCGACCGGCCAAGCCGCGGACCTGACCTGGCACGCCGACGTCAACCTGTACGCCGTCTGGGAGGCCGACGCGACCTTTATGGGCTACCTGTACCTAGACATGCACCCGCGCGATCACAAGTACAGCCACTACGCCAACTTTGGCATCGGCCCGGGCTCGTCAGACAACACCGACGGCCGCCGCCGCCACCCGTTCACGACGCTCGTCTGCAACTTCCCCAAGCCGACCAAGGAGAAGCCCGCGCTGCTGCAGCACAGCGACGTGGTGACGCTATTCCACGAGCTCGGCCACGGCATCCACAACCTCGTGTCCAAGACGCGCTACAGCGCGGCGCACGGCACCAACGTGTCGCGCGACTTTGTCGAGGCCCCGTCGCAGATGCTCGAGCACTGGTGCTGGGTGCCGCGCGTGCTGCAGGTGCTGTCGTCGCGCTGGGACACCAAGGCGCCCATCTCGGACGAGCTCGTCGCCAACCTCATCCGCACCAAGAATGTCAACCGGTCCCTGTTTTACCTGCGGCAGCTCGTCTACAGCACGTTTGACATGCTCGTCCACGGCCCCAAGTCCCGCAAGGAGCTCGAGGACCTGGACCTTGCCAAGGTGTGGAACGAGCGCCGCGCCGAGGTGTCGGGCATCAAAGGGCCCGAGTCGACCGGATATAAGGCGTACGTATCCCCCCCCAAAATAGTACATCCATGTCGGTCAAGGCTAACAGAGGCAATGCAGTCACTGGGGCGAAGGCTTCAACAATGTCGGTCACTACATTGGTGGATACGACGCCGGGTACTACGGCTACATGTACTCGGAGGTCTTCTCGGCCGACATGTACTACGCGGCGTTCAAGGCCGATCCGCTCGACTCAGAGCAAGGCCTCCGCTACCGCCACATTGTGCTGGAGCGGGGCGGCAGCCGGCCTGAGATGGACCTGCTCAAGGAGTTCCTGGGCCGCGAGCCCAACTCGGACGCCTTTTTCAAAGACATTGGCCTGGCATGAGCGAAAGAATAGACGGGGAGTGCGGTACCGGCGTTGATAGATGGGTACACGGGAGTATGTTTGCTTTGCTTGATGAGAATATTGTTCTTTGCCAAGTTGTCGTGATGACGCTGCCTGCCGATCGGCTGATGGTGTTGCAAGCATCAGGGTTGCTCAGCCGCACAATGCATGCGCCCACCGCTGTGCATATACAAGTTCCAAAATCAATTTGTAGCAAACGCGCAAGTAGTTGTCAGCCACCAATGTCTCCAATCTTACACGCCGCCTGTTTCTCGCTCGATTAGGTAAATGCCGGCCCTCTTGTTCTTCTCGGCTCGAACCACACATTTCTTTCGAAACTTTCGCAGATATCAAACTTGCTCACAATATAAATTCCCATCCGGAGGCTGGTCATTTGACCCAACAAAGACGGTCTAGTGGTCGCTGCGAAGAGGCGGGCCATCCCACCATATAAAGTCGAACCAGCCCGTTATTCCCCAATTTCGGGCATTTTCTGTGTAGTTAATAAGTTGTCTAAAATAAGACTGTTGGAATGATGGATTTTTTAATCTTGCCCAGCTCTCTCTGTTTCCGGCCATCAAAAGAAGCTTCGTGAAGCTGCTGCCGCCGTTCCTAGGTCTGGGCATCAGATTCAATCTCATATTTCTCTATATTAAGATACGCTAATAATTTGTCTGCACGACAGTGCGGATATATAAACGAGAACAATTCATAGTCTATTGAAATCATTTAAAGCAATGCAGCTGACGATCTCTTCATGCTGACAGTGACGCCACCAAGCTCCTTGGCTAGTGTTGTGTGTAGGTACCTTGCTGACTGCCTTTGCTGACCGTGCCTCAACAAGCACCAATAGCGCCACCAGTCAGGCATCATGTACTGACTCATATACTGAATGTTACGTAAACATTGTTAAAGGCGGGAAGCAGGTCGTACAAAGCGCCTCACGATCCGGCGTATTACCCGAAAGCGCATCGGCCGGATGCCCAACAAACCCATCGCATATTGCACGTGCTGCAGCACCCGTCTGGAACCCGCCTACGCCAAGATACTCTGGACAATGAAAGCTCAAGTCGTGCCTGCATGCAAGGCACAGCTCGGAACTTGTGCTCGGGTTGAGCAATGGCCGAAGAGAAAAACGGGCGTCCTCGCAAGAACTCTATAGCCAAAGGCACTCATGACAATGGCCTGGTTTCTTCTTTGTGCATGCAATAATTCTTCACAGGAGGCCGGAATAGGGAATGATTCTCTCGGAAGGTCGGACCTCGACTTGTTCGGAGCGTCGACTTGATTCCCCCACACTTCCGCAAAGCGCGCCGCCTTACTTGCTCAGCTTCTGACATTGGGTCGTCGGGGACCGCCAGCAGACAAAGTCCCCGAGGCCAAACAGGGGCCCCCAAGTTCCCACAGCCCTACCGCAGACTCTAGACCGATCAAGGTTGGCATATGCCAAGCGTAATGGGGTGAGAACGCTGCCGTCGCTGGCTGAGCTTCAACACTCTAGACGGCGGTTATCCTATTCCAGTGCTAGGTCTTACTGTTTCTCGCATGGGCTGCGCTGATGTTGATCCAAGTTGAAGAAGATGGAGCGAAACAGAGAACTGCCGACATGGAGTCTAGAAGAGTCTGTAGCAGAGGCCGAGATGGTTGACCATTTCGGCTGAGTAGCATCTCAGTCGGAGGGCATGGAAAGAGCAAGTAAAAGCTTGACGTGGAGGCTCGATAGTTTTCTACAAAGCCTCCGCCTTTCCCTCATTTTTCAATTCAGTCTCGTAGTCTCAGACACAGCTTCTCCGAACAGTCAACTCAACCCACAAGCTTTCTACCCCCGTTCTACCTTTCAAGACTCACCATGGTCACCACCGCGCTCCTCCTCGCGGCGCTGTCCGCCTACGCCACCGCCACTCCGGTCGCCTCGGCCCCCGCTCCGGCGTCGACCCAGTGGACAGGTCTCAAGATTGCGCCGTCGGCCATCAACTGGGACGGCATCGACGCCAAGGCGTTCCACGACCCGGCCAACTGGCACCAAGACGCCAGCAACGAGACGGCCGTCACGGAGCGCGTGTCGGCCAACCCGGGCGGCGGCGGCGCATCCGCCAAGGGCGAGTTCAGCGTCCTCGGGGGCGCCTGCGACCAGGGCAACTGCCCCGACTACAACGCCGGGTTCGACCTCGTGTACACGTTTACGGCGGTGCCGCTGCCGCCGGACCCGGGCTGCCCCGGGTGCCCGCCGCTGACCATCTTCTCGTCCAACTCGGACGTGCGCGTCAACGACTGCGGGCAGTGCCTGCGCAAAAAGGTCGGCAGCAGCCTCGGCGGCGAGGTGCCCGGCGGCTGCTACGACTTCAAGGCGTGCGGCCGCGACCAGGTCATCTGCGTGGACCCGGGCAAGCGCCGCGCCCACCGCATCTGGAAGGACAAGGGCCACAAGACGTGCTACAACATGAAGGTCGAGTACCTTGGCGGCTGCGGCTTCGTCAAGTCCCGCATCATTGTCCACCCCGACGGTGAGACTGCGTGTAACTGGTAAATGGGCTGGTTGCTAGCGGGCAGGCGCGGGCCAAACGTCAAGTATGGATCAAATTTTGAGGGATTCGAGGAAGGTGTCTAGTTATAGTAGATCGGTTTTGAATAGAAAGAGTCGTTGCCTATCCAAGTTCATTGTAAGCCCCAACACAATTGAAACAGGCCACCTTGACAGAAAGCTGTTGCAAAGTCTTAATTTAAAAAATTTTCAAGCAATTGACAGGTAGTGTTGCACTCTATAGAGGCTGTCAAGTCAACTGGTTGGGATGCTGTGGCACGCGATGCAACCTAAACTCACTCCATGCTCTCATGTTTGCGCGGGAAATTTCCTGCTCAGCAAGCGATGGATTTTCCCGGACAATTGTATTTATGCTTGCTTTTCCACTGGTGAGCTGTCAGCCCATGTCTACTCTTCAATCCTGTCGTCAGTGACGTGTTGGTGGATCTACGCCGATTTCAATAGGGCGGAAAGTTTCATCCGAAGTACATCTTCAAGCTTTTCCAGTAACATCCAGAGAAGCAACAAGTCAGAAGTCAAAAGGCTTGTTCCGGTAAATCCGCAGATTTAGAGTTTTGGAGTGTCTCGTGCCTGAGCCTGCTAGGGCTGGGCAAGCCACCAGACGCAGTCGTCCGTGATAAGTGAGCGACGACGTTCCGACTCATCCGATTAGCAAACCAAACGATTGTCTTGTTCATTTTGATGAATTTCTTCTCCTTCTTGCTCGTTCGGATACTTGGGTAACTGGCTTTGTTGTTAGCAATCGGTCAGCCGCTCCAGCCCTGTAATCCCGCTAAAAGCGGCCACAACGGCCCCCTGCGGCGGCCAACAGCACCGCTGGAAAGTGCGGCGATCCACAGCGGACCTTGGGGAAACCTTGGCGGACATTATTCAGCCCCGATGCCCGATCCGCAGCGGCCGTGACTCTTGATACTAACCCAGCAAATTTCTCGCTGACACAATGAATTAGTAAACAGGCCGGATCCCCGTTCAATCAACCCCTACTTATCCTCTAGACGGTTATTGTAAGCGGATGCCAAGTACCCAGCCTTGTATGCTAGCCTCCGTAGCCCTCCGCCGCCCCCACCTCATTACGGTTGCAACGGTAGCCGCCGGACCTCTCGTCATTTTTCCCTGGTGCTTGCTCTTCCACCTCGTCTCTCCTCCCTCCTTGCTCATCTGCTGGACTAATTTTCATTTTTATTTTATTTTTTGCTACAAGCAGTTGGAATACCTGCGAGGACCTCTTTTCTCTCGTAATTTCCCCAGCACCCCTCTATCCCGTCTGCATTGCTCTCCCCTTTGCTTGCTCTCCGCCGTTTGCTGCTCTCCGCAATGGCGTCCCTCGACGCACCGCCCGTCTCGCGCGTCAAGTCCTCGGCCTCGACCGCCAGCGCCTTCAACTATCCCCACGGCCACCTCAACTCGCTGAGCGACCAGCAGGAAGAGGCCCTGCAAAAATTCAAGGCCGTCCTCGAGGAGCGCGGCGTTTGGAAGCGCGGGCCCCCACCATCGCACAATGACCAGACACTACTGTACGTCGAAACGGACACTATCGCAGAGGACGCAAATGCAGCTGACACGGTGCGATTTCTAGTCGCTATCTTCGCGCTCGGCGCTGGATCGTGCAGGATGCCTACGCGCAGTTCAAGGACACCGAGGACTGGCGCGCCGCCAACGAGCTCGACGTCCTCTACGAGACCATCGACCTCGACGCCTACGAGGAGTCTCGCCGCCTCGTGAGTCGCCCCAGCACCAGACCGGATATCCCGGAAATTACGCTTTGACCCGTGATGCAACACTGACACGTCCCTCCCCCCTCTACCAGTACCCTCAATGGACCGGCCGACGCGACCGACGCGGCATCCCGCTCTACGTCTTTGAGATCCGCACGCTCGACAACAAGACCGTCGCCAACTACGAAAAGAATGGCGCCAAGTCCAACTTTTCCCAGGCGCGGTCCGACGGCAAGACGCCGCCCGGCCTGATGCGCCTCTTTGCGCTCTACGAGAACCTCACGCGCTTCAGCCAGCCCTTTGCCACGCAGCTCACCGACCGCGAGAACCCGGCGACGCCCATCACGCTGAGCACCAACATTGTCGACGTCTCCGGCGTGGGTCTCAAGCAGTTTTGGAACCTCAAGGCGCACATGCAGGCCGCGTCGCAGCTCGCCACCGCGCACTACCCCGAGACGCTCGACCGCATCTTCATCATTGGCGCGCCCTTCTTCTTCAGCACCGTCTGGGGCTGGATCAAGCGCTGGTTCGACCCCATCACCGTGTCCAAGATCTTCATCCTCGCCCCGCACGAGGTCCTGCCCACGCTCGAGGCCTTCATCGAGAAGCGCAACGTGCCCAAAAAGTACGGCGGCGACCTCGACTACACCCCTGGCCAGCTCGGCATCCCCGACCCGGCCTGGGACGGCGTCGTCGCCTGGGAAGCCGGCTACACGTCGTTTCCGACCGGCCCCCTCGTCTGGGAGGACGTCGACGGCCAGCCGGGCCGCCTGCAGTGCGTCGCGCTCGGTTCCAAGGGCGGCAAGCCCCGGCGGGAGCGCATCTGCACCATCCCCCGCACGTGGTCGCCGCCCGCGACCGAGACGACGACGGCGAATGGCTCTGCGATAGGGACGCCCGCCGCGCACGCGGACAACGAGGCCGCACCCGCCGCGGGGCAGGCCACGGAGCAGAAATCGCCAGAGTCGTTTCGCACGGCAGACACGCAGGTCGATGCCCAGGTCGACAACAGCGCTGACGCCCTCGAGAAGCTTGCCATTGACGAGAAGAAGCCTATCGCTCAGCCCACCTCGGTCCCGGCTCAAGTAGCTGTGTAGTGGAGCGACGATTTGGACAACTGCGCATCTGCTTCCAATTTTTGAATACTGGGGGAACGACGGCTATTTATGCATGCGCTGCTATTGGATAGCAGCAGACGGGCATCGACGTTTGGTCTTGGCCTTACTACATACCACATTTTCTTTCATTTTCTTTGCATTTATTGTTTCATCTTTATATACCACCAGAACGGTCCTAGGGCCAACCTTTGCATTTATCCACCTATATAGATGTACATGATATACATGACTGCTTCTCTATCCCGTCTTGGCCTCTAATACTGCCTGTCCGTGTGCCGTGTTAAACATTCTAGTCCCGAAAAACAATAAGTCTATTTCCCATTTGCCGTGCGTCTCATAATCATATCCCTTCTCCCACCCATTCTAGTTATTCTTGTGTCCCCTTCTCTTGCGCCACTCCTCGACGCCCTTTTCAATCTCGGCCCACGACACGCCGTCGCGCACCAGCCTCATTGTCAGCCCGAGCTTCTCCGTCTCCAAGTTCCTGCTCTCGTCGTCGAAGAAGAGCATGTCCTCGTACGCCACGCCCGTGCGCCTCTGCAGCGTCTCAAAGTGCCGTATCTTGCTGCCCGGGTAAATCTCCATGCCCGCGTCAAACACGTCGCCGGCGCGGCGCGGCGCCTTCTGGCCCGGCACGTGCAGCATCTTGAGCAGGTCCCGCGCAATCGCCGTCGCCGAGGTGCGCGAGGCGACGCCCAGCTTGATCGGCGCCGAGGCGCCCCGCGGCAGGTGCTGCAGGATCGAGGGCACGTCGTCGTAAAAGGCAAACGACTCGCCGTAGCGGTCGGTGGCTGCCGTGTGCGCCGCGTTGGCCTTGAGCGGCGGCGTCGGGTGCGTGTCCACCCAGTACGGCCACAGCGTGTAGTCGAGGTCGAAGACCATGAGCCGCGGCAGGGGCAGGCTCGGGTCGGCCAGGGACGCCGGCACGCCGCCGTCGGTGGGGGAGCGGGGAGTGGCACTGTTGGTGGCCGACTCGGAGGTGCCGCTGCGGGAGAGCTTGGGCATGCTGGATGGTGCTGGGGAGGGTTGTGGGCGATGGTGAGGGAATGAAGAGCGGTTGGGTGAGTGAGTGTGTGAGTCGATGTGGTGAACACAGCTATTAAGCGCTATTCTTGGGGATAGGAAGCGCTGCTTACTAAGCTACAGTGGTGTTTCTGGTGGCCACGCTCATCACGGTTAAGATACACAAACGTTGTACTGCAGCGCTTCTCAAGAGTGAGGGGGTTGTCGAATAAAGAAGTCGAGCCCTGGCGCTAGCTCAGAGCTTCTGTAATTACTCTGATAAATTAAATTCCAGTCTGGTATCCGTGTTCTACTTGAACATGGCGGGCAACACACTGCACTTGATGAATGACGGAGCCATCGCAGCGGCTTCTGTCTTGCCAGCCGCCCACAACCCAGGGGCCCGCCAGCACGTTTCCCAAGTTCGGAAAGCTCGATTAGCAAGCATGGCTGGGAATTATTCTGTTTATGGTGTTGATTTTGAAGAGCGCGCTGCCGTCATCGTCGGCCAAAACGGAACCTCGTGAGACGGACGAAGTCAAGGGTCAGGTTACGGCTATCTGGCCCGGCTCAACAACATTTCATCGCGACTTGTCTTTTACCGAGTCGATCGTGAAGACGACATCTCCAGAGACCCGCGGTCTATGGCGTAACCCTAACATTAAAAAAGGCTTGCAATATCATGTTTGTTAAACCGCAGTATGAAGTCTTTCAGACTTACAGAATTTACAACACCAACAGAATTTCTTCGAAGAGAAGCAGGCATCCTCTAGCCAGCGTCCTTCTTCGCCAGTCTGAAGTCCCATGATGCACGTGGAGGCCCACGGAGATACATTGCGCAGCCAAGATTATGCTCAATATTGGGTATTCTATTCTGAAATTTTTAATGTTGCGGTATCCATGTGTGCTCCTTAAACCCTTAGTAACACTCTTCCGCGAACGTGGCTCTCAATCTGCTCTGGAATTCCCAATCGATGCCAGTACCCCTACCAGTACCATTGACTGGTGTGTGCCGCATGTCATTTTACATGCGACTATTTCACCTTCTTCGAGGCAAAAATGGCGAAACTGGCTTGCGGCGTATAACTATTCTTCGAGGTGTTTGAGGCATTGGGGCCAAGTCGGCCTTGCTAGGTGACGGCCCACCAAGCTCGTCTTCAGAAGTCGGCGTGCCGCAGCGCCTTTTTCCGTCATCATTTGGCTCCCTCTCTGGGCTTTTGGTCGCTTTTCTCTTTTTCGTTGGCGATGATTTATCAGGAGATGGAGTCCTATCGGCGTTAGAGTTCAAGCTGTGCGCCTGGTCCTACTGCGGCAGAAGCTCTCTCTGCCCCGGATACTGCTGCATAATTTCCTCGGCCAGCCCCATAAGGTTATGCTTGAACTTTCCAATCGGGCTCAAAGACCTTGCCGGTACCAGCAAGTTTCTGGCAGATGATGACAGCTCGAATTTGTTCCGCGAAACTTGTTTAGCTGGCCCTTGCGGAGTGAGAGCTTCCACGTCTTGAACCTCTTTTGCAGAGAGGCACCAGTTCACGGGCGAGCCGAGTATCATCACCTTTCCTAGCGCTTGAAACTTCTCCAGCAAGTATTGAGTGTATGCCTCCAGCATATTGTTGACAGCGTGCGGGCTTTTGTGCGGGAAGCAACGGAGGTATCGGTCTCTGGCCCGGACAAACGCAAGAACAAGGTCCCTGGTGATGCTGAGAGGCAGTTTGCCTCCCTTCTCTTGTCCGACGCTATTCCAAAACTCATCGGGTCCTCTTGTTACCAATACTTCCCACAAGCAATTGCTTGCAAGCATGAGATGCGTCAGACAACGCTCTGCTGCGACCGGGCCGGACGGAGCCTCCGAGTGCAACGCATCGATGATACCGTTATCGCGCTTCTCGCGGCCAGTCATTGGCTTCCCGTCTAAGAAGCAAAAGCCGCGGATGTTTCTTAGCCGAGTTTTGATGAGCTCTCGCATCTCTAACGACTCGTCGTCGGCGAATGTCATTATTGCGTCGTCGCGGTAGAGTAAGACTTCTGAAGGGCTTGGAATATAAGGACAGGCTTGAGGCCTTCTTATAGATGTTCTATGCATACATAGAATTAAAAACGACGGCAGACTTTGATTCCAGGACGATGCAGCAAAGGACGGAGGGGTGTTTGAGAGAGGCGGCGGACGGATTGGCCTGCGCTGTTTGCTGGCCTAACAATGTGAGGTGCGTGGCAGCTGGCAGCTGGCTGGCAAGAGCGGACAGCTGGCATTTGACACTGGTCATGCGATGACTGTTCAGTTCATGTGACTTTCCAAGTGTCATTTACGCTCTGGGTATTGTTCTGTTGTTTTATGTATTCCTCATGCTGCTATTAATCCGTCTTCGCTGGTTGTTTGCTTCTGTTGATATCGACAATCTCACCACCTTCTCTCTAATTGTTGGTACTCTCCTGTCTCCCCGCTTCGGACGTTGGTACTACTATCAGGTGTGTTTTCTGCCCAGAAGTTGTCAATATCGCTAGATGTACGTGCGTCTGGTAACTCTTGAACGTGTATTATCCGCTCTCAGAAGTTCGTTTCCCGCCAAAGACCCCGCATCGACGCAAGGCTGCGTCATATTGTAGTTACCCCACGATTCACAGAGAGACTTTTGTGCTGACTGCTGACTGCTGAGACAACAGCGCCAAGCTGGAAAACATCGCGCTCGTAAAATTAAGTGCCTCAGCTCGTTGTGGCTTCAAAGCCTCGCTGATGCATCTCCGGCGGCTGGTGCAGGGTAGGTAGTTTGCGGCGACGGCGCTTCAGCGCGTCGAGCGAGGCACGCGAGGGCGAAACTGGTAGAACTGGGAGCAGCAACACGCGGCCCGACAAACAAATCCTCGCTGCAAACCGTCTAGCAAATCCATCCCACTGCGCGCTCAACTGTGCGAGGCACCTGTTTCGGCTGCAAATCGTGACAGGGTACGGAGTACAAACAAAATACATGCGAGGTACTTGTTCTACTGCACGAAATGGGGCTGCAGCAAACCGCCCTGCAGCGCATCCACGAGTTGCTAGGGTATTGCGCCATTGTATTTTTGGCAGCGGAGCCACATTTACAAGGTAGCACAAGCCGAGATCCAATCACGTCGCAATATTTGCCCTCCCACACGCCCTTGCCTTCGTCCATTGCCTTTGGACGGCAGCTGGAGCGCTGCGAGATTTCTTGCTTGCGTGTATATACTTTGTAGCCTGTCGTACCGTCTCCCGCTCCCCGCCGGGCACCCGCTCTTCATAGCCTCATAGGCTTAATGACGACAGGGGCTCCACCCTTCTCGGCGGTACATTGGGCACGTACCAGGTACGTGCTTTTGGCTGCGCGTTTTGGTAGGCTGTCAGGTACTCTGGTACCCCTCCTGCCCCGCCATCCTGTCCCGCCATCTCAGAAGCCGCCTTTGGCTCTCACTCTTAAACCCTGCCATCGCCGCCGCTGCTTGCGCCGCGCTCTTCCCTTCTCGTTCCGATACTCTCTCAATTCTCCTCAATCCAAAATCTACCACAATGGGTGTTAGCAAGACCACTATCAAGAGCGGCTCCGGCGTCCAGCCCAAGCCTGGACAGACCGTTGTCATCGAGTACACGGGCTGGTTGAAGGACACCAGCAAGCCCGACAACAAGGGTAACAAGTACGAGCTTTACAAACCCCGCATTTGACCTTTCTGACCGAATCTCTCCTCTAGGTTTGACTCCTCTGTCGGCCGCGGTGACTTTGAGGTCAAGATTGGTGTTGGCCAGGTTATTCGAGGTGAGCCCAACGCTGTCAACCAACTGCGTGCCAAAACGCTAACACAGCTCTAGGCTGGGACGAGGGTGTTCCTCAAATGCAGGTTGGCGAGAAGGCCACCCTGGACATTAGCAGGTATGTCTACTGCAACCCCCAAGCGAGAACCCCCCAATACTAACCCGGTCTCTAGCGATTTTGGATACGGTGCTCGGTAAGCTCCAGGCTTGATTGCTCACGCCAGCTCGCTCCGTTTCTATGCGATACTAACCTCTTTGTCTATGCAGCGGTTTCCCAGGTCACATCCCCGCCGGGGCCGACCTGATTTTGTAAGTTGGGCGCAGCTGCTGCATAAAATTTCCGACGACTGACCACCCACTGTAGCGATGTTGAGCTCAAGAACGTCAAATAGACTGTTTCAAATTCGCCGTTTGCTTTGTCCCTAGTGGAAAATGGAGCATCGCGCCAAGTGCGCCACGAAGCCTCCTGATAAAAACGTTTATGTCTAGCTTAACAGATACAAATTGAAAAACAGTAAAACTTACAAGCGTTGGGTAGTCGTGTAATACACCTTTCTCGCCTCATGCAAACCTTGATTTCAGTTCGTCCGTAGCGCTGTCTTTCCATGTCCTTCTACACCCGCATTGCCGCCCCACTGGTTGCCTGGCACTGCCCCTCACCATCTGTCACAATCGTTTAGGGAGTTAGCTAAGCATTTGGTATGGCGAGGTGGTCCAGTCATCAAGGCAACGCAGCTCCAAACATCAACCGCAAACTTTGGACTGACCGCACACATCTCTTCTAACAAATCAACTTTACGCCCGCATCCCCCCCAAAAAACAAGATTGAGAGGCTCACAGAACACCCTTGCCTACTACTAAGCGTTCTCTCTGCAACAACCTCTCCCTCTCAGCATTCTTTGGCGGGGTAGAGCTCGACCCAGTGCTAGCTCACCAACCTTCAAGATTTCTTCCCAGCTTCCCGGCTCAGGCGCACTGGGCAAACGAAAGCTCTCCCACGGAGCAGCTCGACCAGATCAAAAACGAACCATGTCGGTAAGTCGCATTCCTCCTACTGCCCGAGCGATTCGGCCGCCACAGTCTGAGGCACGAGGCTAACCGTTCACCCAGGCCATCACCGAATCTACCTCTAAGATGCAAGTCGACGGCGCGGCTGCCGGCCAGTCCGAAATCGACGAGTCCCTTTACAGTCGCCAGCTCTACGTGCTCGGCCACGAGGCCATGAAGCGCATGGGTGCTTCTAATATCCTTGTCGTTGGACTCAAGGGCCTCGGTGTTGAGATTGCCAAGAACGTTGCTCTTGCTGGCGTCAAGAGCTTGACCATCTACGATCCCGCCCCTGTTGCCCTACGGGATCTCTCCTCCCAATTCTTTCTCACCTCCGCCGATGTTGGTAAACCCAGAGATCAAGTTACGGCCCCCAGAGTAGCTGAGCTGAATGCCTACACCCCGGTTAGGGTCCACGAGTCGCCTAGGTAAGTCGGCACCTTTGCCTTTTGCCTTGACCCATAATCTAACTTTGATAGCCTCGACGAAAACTTATCCCAATTTGATAATTACCAAGTTGTGGTTCTTACCGGCGTTCCGATCCTGTCACAAAAGCTCGTTTCCGACTATTGCCACTCCAAGGGCATCTATGTGGTCATCGCCGACACCTTCGGTCTGTTTGGATCTATTTTCTGTGATTTCGGAAAGAATTTCACGGTTGTTGACCCTACGGGCGAGACCCCCACCCACGGAATCATCGAAAGCATCGACGAGGAGGGCCTAGTCTCTGTTTTTGACGAGAGCCGACACGGTCTTCAGGATGGCGACTATGTCACATTCTCCGAGATTGAGGGGATGGAAGCCCTCAATGGCTGCGACCCCAGAAAAGTGACCGTTCACGGGCCTTATACTTTCTCCATTGGCAATGTTTCCAGCCTGGGTCAATACAAGCGTGGCGGTAACTACCAGCAAGTCAAGATGCCCGCGATTCTCGACTTCAAGAGCTATACCGACTCGGTAAAAGAGCCCGAGTTCCTCATCTCTGACTATGCCAAGTTCCTCCGTCCCGAACAGCTGCATCTTGGATTCCAGGCTTTGCATGCCTTCCAGATCGCCAAGGGCAGACTCCCCAACCCTATGGACGACGACGATGCTGCTGTTGTCATCGGTGCTGCCAAGAGGTTTGCTGAGGAAGAAAAACTCGAGCTTGAAGTGGATGAAAAGCTGCTGAAGGAGTTGAGTTATCAAGCTCTTGGTGATCTCAACCCCATGGCGGCCTTCTTCGGTGGCGTTGCAGCCCAGGAAGTCCTCAAGGCCGTCTCTGGAAAGTTTCATCCGATCAAGCAATGGATGTACTTTGACTCTTTAGAGTCTCTTCCCACCTCCATCAAGCGCACTGTTGAATCATGTAAGCCTATTGGTAGCCGCTACGATGGTCAGATTGCCGTCTTCGGTAAGGAGTTCCAGGATAAGATTGCAAACTTGAGACAGTTTCTCGTTGGCGCTGGCGCCATTGGCTGTGAGATGCTCAAGAACTGGGCCATGATGGGACTGGGATCTGGACCCAACGGCAAGATCTTTGTTACCGATAACGACTCGATTGAAAAGAGCAACTTGAACCGGCAGTTTCTTTTCAGAGCTGCCGATGTGGGTCACATGAAGAGTGACTGCGCGGCCAGAGCTATCCAACGCATGAACCCTGAGCTTCAAGACCATATTACGACGTTCCGCGACCGTGTAGGGCCCGAGACCGAAGACGTCTTCAATGCTGACTTTTGGAACGGCCTTGATGGCGTCACTAATGCCCTGGACAACGTTGAAGCCAGAACCTATGTTGACTTACGCTGCATCTTTTACCGCAAGCCTCTGCTCGAGAGTGGTACTTTGGGCACCAAAGGCAACACCCAGGTCGTCTTGCCCAACATTACCGAATCATATGCCTCCTCACATGACCCCCCTGAGAAGGAATTCCCCATGTGCACAATCCGCAGCTTCCCAAACCGTATTGAGCATACGATTGCTTGGGCCAAGGAGCACATGTTCGAGCGCTGCTTTGTCAACGCTCCTCAAACTGTTAATCTGTACTTGACCCAGCCCGGATTTTTGACCACGACGCTCCAGCAGGGCGGCAACCAGAAGGAAACACTGGAGACTATCCGTGACTACCTGACGGCGGATCGCCCCCGGACTTTCGAGGACTGCATCGCCTGGGCCAGAAATTTGTTTGAGGCTGAGTTTGCCAACAAGGTCCAGCAGCTTCTATACAACTTCCCTAAAGACTCGACAACATCCTCGGGCTCGCCTTTCTGGTCTGGAGCCAAGCGCGCCCCTGATGCCCTGAAGTTCGACCCTAACAATCCAACCCACTTTGGTTTCATTGTTGCTGCCGCCAACCTTCACGCCTTCAACTACAACATCAACCCGCTCAGCAATGACAAGGCTATTTACCTGCGCGAACTCGAAAATGTTATTGTTCCCGACTTCAACCCTGACTCGCGTGTCAAGATTCAGGCCGACGACAAGGATCCTGACCCGAACAAGGACATTCCCACGGACGATGAGGAGCTGCAGAGCCTGACAGCGTCGCTACCGTCGCCCAGCAGCCTAGCAGGCTTTAAGCTGCAGCCAGTCGACTTTGAAAAGGATGACGACTCGAACCATCACATTGACTTCATCACTGCATGCAGCAACTTGCGTGCCGAAAACTACAAGATTGAGGCTGCGGACCGCCACAAGACCAAGTTTATCGCTGGCAAGATTATCCCTGCCATTGCTACGACGACGGCTCTTGTCACGGGTCTCGTTGTTCTCGAATTGTACAAGGTTATCGATGGCAAGGACGACATTGAGCAGTTCAAGAATGGCTTCATCAACCTGGCGCTGCCCTTTCTCAGCTTCTCGGAGCCGATTGCCAGCCCCAAGGTGGAGTATAAAGGCCCCAACGGCCAGGTCGTGCTCGACAAGATATGGGACCGCTACGAGGTCAAGGATATTACCATTCAGGAGCTCGTCGACTTTTTCAAGGCTAAGGGGCTGACAGTGCTCTCGCTCAGCCACGGCGTCAGCTTCCTGTTTGGCGCGTGGATGGTGACGGCCAAGGCGCGTCTGCCGCTCAAGATTAGCGAGGCCATTCAGCAAGTCACCAAGAAGCCTGTGCCGGCGCACATGAAGGAGCTGATTGTGGAAGCGCTCGTAGAGGACGAGAATGAGGAGGATGTCGACATTCCTTATGTCAAGGTGACGCTGGAATAGGAGAAATGGAGATGAGTAAAACTACGGCCTAGACTTATATTTATGAATTTAACCATGTGTATTTCCATTACTTGTATAAGGTGCCGGTTGATGCCTGCCTTTTAGCGGCACTGTGGCGTTTCCGTTCCGCGTGCAGTTTACTCGACACTTCTCAGGCTCCATTCCCCAACACACGAGGCGCGCAATCACGCAACCGTCGTCACATCTAATGCCTTTTGACTGCGGAGGGGACACACAAGAGATTTTAAAACTGCAAGTATTCATTGAGTTGGACTTTGTACATATTTTTGAATGAGTGGAAGAATTTGAGAAACAATTTCGTCGCAATACTACTATTAGTGCATATTGGCAAGCAATTAATCAGCGACGCTAGCAATAGTGTTGGCTTTCCACTCAGCCCAATTCATCAAGACCAACCTTTTGTCAGCCATTTGAATCGACGGGCTGCTAGTAGTTTAGCGCAACCACCACCATAGCTTCTGTGATTAGGTCAGGATCTTGTCAGCTCCCTCTAATACCGGCTTTCGTCATCGAGGGCGGCGACAGCTCCGTGTACTTATATCGCCTAGGGAAGCTCACTGGAAACCCAATTCCATCTCACAACAACCACAGCCACAAAAGCAGTCCAGACTGCCAATGAATATTGCGCAGCGCAACCGTCCGACACTTATCAAACAAAGCATCCTCTTGCCCATCTCCAAGCTTGCCTCCAGCGCAGCGCCCAGCTCTACTCGCCTCCGTCACCACAGCGCGGGGTCACCTCATATCCCTCCATTGCGAGCTCCCTCATACACAGTAGCCTTTTCTACCACAGCAATCAACATGGTACGCTTCCCGTCGCACTTTTCTCTTCTTCTCGTCTAGAAACTGTCGCTAATCCAACTTGTCAGTCCAACGCCGCCAAAATCACCGACTGGGTCGACCGTAGCGACAAGTCGGGCGAGTTCAAGCGCCAGGTCAGCTCGTTCCGCGACCACATCTCGCGCGAGGCCGGCGCGCAGTATCCGCCCGAAAAGGACCGCTACCATCTCTTTGTGTCTTATGCCTGTCCTTGGGTATGTACAGACCCCCTGTCCTCTCCGACTTTCTTGCAGCCCTCCCAGCTAACAAACCCGCTCTCACCCACGCAGGCCCATCGCACCCTCATCGCCCGCAAACTCAAGGGCCTCGACAAGTTCATCACCTTTTCGGTCGTCCACTGGCACCTCGGCCAGGGCGGCTGGCGCTTCGTCACAGCGGACGAAAAGGAGCCGGGCGAGAATGTCATCCCGGATCCGATCCCCGGCCACGAGAAATTCACCCACCTGCGCGAGGTCTATTACGAGTCGGACGCCGACTTCAGCGGCCGCTTCACGGTGCCGGTGCTGTACGACAAGAAGACGAAGCGCATTGTGAATAATGAGAGCAGTGAGATTTTGCGCATTTTCGGATCTGAGGTGAGTGTTATTTTTTTGGGGCAAACTGGCAAGGGCAAAGAGACGGCTAACACCAAAAATAGTTTGACGACTTGCTGGACGAGAAGCATCGGGGCATCGACATTTACCCCGAGGCCCTCCGCGCTGACATTGAAGACGCACACAAGTGGCAGTACGACCTCATCAATAATGGCGTCTACAAGTCGGGCTTCGCGACGACGGCGCAGGCCTACGAGCACAACGTCGTCGCCCTCTTTGAGGCGCTCGACCGCGTCGAGAAGCACCTCCAAGGGCAAAAGGAAGGACCGTACTACTTTGGCAAGACCCTGACCGAGGTTGACATTCGACTGTACGACCTCTTCTCCCAACCAAATCCTCTCAAAGCATCTAAGCTAACATGTCCGCAGCTACGTCACCCTCGTCCGCTTCGACCCCGTCTACGTCCAGCACTTCAAGTGCAACATTCGCGACATTCGCTCCGGCTACCCGGCCATCCACCAGTGGATGCGGCACCTGTACTGGACGCTGCCTGCCTTCCAGGACACGACGCAGTTTGAGCACATCAAGTGGCACTACACCCGCAGCCACACCCAGATCAACCCGCTATCCATTACGCCGGTCGGTCCGCTGCCCAACATTCTGCCTCTTGAGGAAGAGGTGGCTGCTGTCGCCGCTGCGCGCAAGTAAATGTCGTGGTATAGCAAAATGAAAAATGACCTTTTTGTTTACAATGTATTTAAAAATAATAAAAACTCCAGATAAATGAACCCAATGTACTCTATACCCATACCATGAACCGCCCTTCCCACCCCCCAAAAAATACAAATAAAAACAATAGCACGCCGTGTATGTTGATGTGCGCCTCTACATATGCTCCTTGTAAAACCCTCTATAGCCCTGCTCGTACATGTCCCTGCGCCGCGCCCACGAGCGCTTCATGGCCGGGCGCTCCCACTCGTCGACTTCTTTTTCGCGGGCGACGCCCTCGGCGGCCCAGCGCGCGGCCACGTCGGCGCGCATCACCTCATCGGTCGCCGACGCCGCCGCCGCCGCCGCCCCTGCGCCGGCTGGCGGCGGCGGCGGCTCGTCCCACAGGTGCAGAGCGTGCTGGCGCTCAACGGCGCCCGCGGCGGCGAGGTGCGCGCGGTTGTGCGCGTCGAGCTCGCATGCCAGCATGTACGGCGTCGCCGGCGGCAGCGGGCTCGTGCTCGAGTAGCGGTGCGTAAGGAGGAGATGCCGCAGACGCCGAAAGTGCGCGAGATGCTCGTCCGGGCTGGCGGACGCCGGCAGCGGCGTGCCGGCCTGCGCGAGCTTGTAGATGAAGTCGAGCCCGAGTGATAGCTGATATTTTTCGTTAGTTGCGTTGATGAAAAGGGCGATTGGGGGTGCGTACGTAGGCTTGTACGTGCTCGTTGGTGCTGCCGGTGGATAGGTAGTCGACTTCGTGGGCGCCCCAGGTGACATCATACATGGCGACTTGCTTCAGCGCTACCTCAACTAAGTCAGCATCGCGTGGCAAAGTTCGGGCCCGGGGGGAAAAAACTCACCTTGCAGTACGATATTCTCCAAAAAGTCGTGAACGCACGCGAGCTGTTTGTACGCCCTGGTGACATCGCCACGGTAGAGCGCGGCGCTGAGCTGAAAGTTGATTTCGGCGCGCCAGCTGCGATGCGCGGCGCAGTCGCCGGCCTCGCGGAACAGCAGGCCGCAGTAAATCTCGTAGCCGTAGAGGATGCGGTGTATGCGCTTGACCTCTGCGGGGGTGGCGCGGCGGGGGGTGGTGGTGCCAAAGAGGCCCTCCTCGCAGCAGGCGGGCAGGGCGGCGCGGACGAGGCGCGCCGTCAGGGCCTCGACGACGCCGTGGGCCTTGCTCATGGAGACGACGTCGGGCAGGGACAGGCCCCAGGGCCAGACGCCGAGGGGCCCGCCGGTCTCGTCGGCGGCGGCGGCGGCGGCGGCGGCGGCCTCGTCCGAGACGTGCACCAGCCACTCGTCGGCAAAGGCGCGGACGGCGGCGGGCGAGGCGCGGTCGACGCGGCGCGCCGTGTGCGCGGCAAAGGCGAGCCGCGCCGTCGCCGGGCTCATCTGCGCATCGAGGATGTCGCGCACGATGCGCGCAGGGTCCTCGAAGAAGGCCGCGTGCAGCACTGGGTGCGCGAGCACGGCCGCGCCGAGCGAGTGCAGCGTGTCGAGATGTCGCAGGACCAGGCCGAGGACGTGCAGCGGCGTCTGGGTCAGGCTGGCTTCGTGGGCGGGCATGGTTGCGGTTTTGGAGGAAGCAAGGAGGGGGGGAGGGTTGGGGGTGGTCAATTCATAGCCTGGGGGGGAAGAGAAGAAGAAGAAGAACAGAAGGAAAGAGAGGATGGGGCGAATTGAAAGGGTAGCACAATTGGCAATGGGCCGGGAGAGCGAATCAGGCTGGAAGCTTATTCTTCGGGCTGGCTCGTGAGAAGTTGTGGCTTGAACGGGGATCACAATCGTGTGGGGAAGAAGAGACGGCCGGGCCGGTTTTGGTGCCCAACAAGATGGGGGAAATGGCGGGGGGGAGGAAATGGGGGATCGTTTGGGCAGAGACGAAGAAAGCGACGACGTTTTGTTGACGAATGCGGCGGGTTGCGTAAAACTAAAACGTTAGTGAGAGGAAGAAGAAGAAGAAGAAGAAGCCCGGGCTTGGGGGGGAACAAGTGTAGACGTCATCCCGGCGTTGCCGTTTGGCTCTTCTGGTGTCGCAGCCCACTTACACGGCCAAGTTGAACTTTGAAAGAAGAACGACAACATGCTCTGAAAAAAAGGCCGAGGCTTGTTTCAGCAGCTGTCCCACCAGTTGCTCTGTACGTTACCAGTGAATCTAACTACCTACAGCTGTTATACACGTATACACGCTAGCCGATAGCGAATGGACAGACCTTTTCTTGCCAATTGAAGAGGTATTTTTATATATTCCCTCGGTTCGATAAATCCCGCAGTCTCTTTCAAACTCGCCCGCCCGGGCTGACGCTGAGTGGCGGCCGGCGTTGACTCGGAGGGGGGGGCTTTTCGTCTCTCCCGCGTCGCATACGAGTCGCACCCGTTTCTCCCCTTTGTATTTCCCCGGTTCCCCGGATCACAAATAGGTCGGTCAGACAAACCCATGTCAGTTAATATGGTACATAGGCGAAAAGACCAACCTACCCCACTCATTCTAGAAGAAAGGAAAAAAGGAGCCGCGCCACAACACAAAAAACACTTGTTCCTGACAAGCACGCTGGGCCAAGTGAGCCATTGCATGTTTCTCAGCAAGTAAAAGTATCCCATGTGGAGGGACGAGTTCATGCAAGGTTCGCTTTTGACATTTCTACTCGTTGGAGAATGAACAAGCGGGGTAACTAATAGGAGGAGCAGTTGAGCGGAGAAATCAGACACTGAAGAGATGGGGCATTTTGTGCGCTGCAACTTGGCGGGCGTTTATTATAGTGTCCATATTAACTACCTGGTAATTTGTGCCTAGCGAAGAACTGTCTTATCCGGCTGGCTGCCGATCTGGCGATGACGTTGCATCGGCCGCGCCCATGACGCTGTCTTGCGAGAGAGAGATTCACGTGTTGACAGAATAAACAAACAAATAATCTAGGTATGAAAAACAGCCAATGATGCATTCGTAATGCTCAAGCAAGCTTGATGCGTCATGGATGTAATGGGTACCTACAGTTTAGTACACATCCAGGTCAACACTATTTTTCCCTTTTGCCCCAGGTATTTTGCTCGGTATTTTGCTCTTGGCCGAGATGTGCAACGTACAACGTACAACCCACGCAAACAAACAAACAACGGCCGCTTCCACCATTGCACACCTTGTTTCTCTCCACACACTCACTGCAGCTTGTACCTTTTGCGTTGCTGAGAAAATTAGCAAAGACGTTGCATCTTTGTGTAATATATTGTAATATATTGTAATACACCAAGTCTCCAAAAGTAAAGAGGAAGAAAATAAAAATAAAAATAATAAAAGTCCCCAATAGTACAAATGCATTTCCCTTGCCCGCTTCATGACATTAAATATAGCGCCACCGCTGGTGATTATCCGCCACCCACCATCTCGTCGCAAACGCCGCCTCCTCTGCCCACTTGGCCGCCTCGACGCCGTACTTGGTCTCGACCGCCCGGAGCATGCCGACAAAGTCAAACGACGCCACCTGGCTCTCCTCGTGCGGATCCGTCTCCAGGTCCGAAAAGTACCACTCGGCGTCCTGGATCAGCGGCACCAGCAGCCGCCAGCGCGGGCTGTCCATGCTGCGTGTCGAAATCGTCTGCCCGCCGGGGCTGACGCTGGTAAAGTACCACCGCCGGTCCTCGGCCGTCAGCGGCCGCAGCAGCGACGGCGCCTCGTACGTGTGGAGCAGCTCGCGCGCCGCCTTTTGCTGCGCCATGTTGAGCCCGCCCGTTTCTAGGAGCAGGTCGAGCACCGTCGGCAGCATCGACATGGAGCTCACGAGCTCGTTGATGTTGATGACGGGCAGGTGCGGGTGTGAAAATACGAGGGGTACGTGGAAGCTACCCACGCTGGGGACACCCCACGGCGACGCGCCGCCCATTTCAATGACGGGCACGCCGTGGTCGCCGACGAGCACAATTAGTGTGTCGTTGGCCGCACCCTCTTCCTCAATCATGTCGAGGAGGTGGCCGACCCAGCGGTCCACGTAGCCGACGGCGTTGAGGTGCTTGGAAATGTCCTGCAGGTGGTTGTTGGCATCCTCCTGAACCATGGGCACATAGACCTCGTCGCCAGGGAGGCCGTATGGGAAATGCGTCGAGCTCGTCAGGTGCGTGAGGAATAAGCGCGTGTCGTTTTCGCGCGACGTACGCAAGGCATCGCGGAAATATTCTTCTATAGCCGGTTCAGGCATTCCATCGTAGCGCACGTCTTCAACGGTGGCGTTGCCAAACGCGGCCTTGTCGCTGTGCAAGTACTCCGAGTCCACCATTTCGTCTTCCAGGTAGCCGATACCCTTCATCAATTCGTACTGATGGTCGTACTGTCCCGTCACCGACATCATGAAGGAGTTGTTAAACGGGCGGTTGAGGAAGCCTTCCGAGTCGCTCCCATCGGTGAGCCCGTTGAGGACCTTGAGGATGTGAGGAAGACAGGGCTGATAGATATGATAGTTGTATTCCTTGTTCATGTCGGCAACAAGGGGGTTGATGCCGCAGAGACCACCAGTCAAACTCTTCAGTGTATAGGTGGCCGAGGGTGTGTTCTTGTTGACATTGATACCGCCGCGTCGGGGGGTATCCTTGTGATCGAAACCGTCGTTATAGTCGCCGGTTAGGTAGCGAGCGTTCTGAGTAAGAGTGGCAGCTCTTTCTTCTGCCTCTTCCGGAAGCTGCTTGTTGCTCCACGTCTCGCGCATCTTGTTATAAATATATTCGTCTTTCTTGAACGGAAAAACATCCTTTCGCGTAGACTCGAGGAAGAGGAACACGACATTTCGGATAGAAACCTCAGAAAGCTTGCCCTTGAGCGAGTCAAGGAGCTCCTTGTCGTAGTTTGGCTGGCTGAGGGGGTCCATCTTGCGATCGTAGTGCTGCTTCTCCTCACCGTACCAGTCGTCAAAGCCGGCGGGAGCGCTGCCCTGCTTGGGTAGCCAGTCAAACTGAGTGGGTTGAGCGAGTGTAAAGGGGATATTCCACTTTTGGTCCATGCTCTTTTCGTATACGGGGATGATGTTGGTGAGCGGTGAGTCGGAGCCACGCAGGTAGTCGACAATGGGCATAGCAATGGCGGTCCAGGAGAGAAAGATGTAAGCTTGCTCGGCAGGCTGGAGAATCCAAGTGAGAATCTGGACGAAGAGGAACACTGCAGTGCCGATATAGAGAAGTCGTAGTTTGGGATCACGGTGAGAGGCAGTACAGGGGCCAGTAGGTTCGGAATATGAAGACTCGATATCGTCGTACAGCTCTTCTTTGCTGACGGGGACGTATTCGACATTGTTGCGACTGCGACCGCAGCTACCAATCTTGCTAAGAATCATACCCATGGCAGCCTTGACAACATCAAGCATGATATCGGCGAAGAAGAACAAGGGGCTCTTGAGAACCAGGCTGCCAAAGAAGAGGCCGACGTTGGCAGAGATAAAGGCCCAGAGGCCGGTAAGCATAATGGCCCAGGTGTTAGAGTCGGCAACGAGGCCGGCGTTGCGCCAGCGCGGCTCCCCGCCAATCATGAGATAAAAGGAAATGTTGGAGACGGCGAGAAAGAGCTGGACCAGAGCGACCAAGGTAGAAAAGGCTGTGGCAAGGAAGCGGAACCAGCCGCCGCCGAAGCGCCCGAGGGCCTTGTTGTCGAGCAGGAAGCGGAGGAGCAGGACAATGGCCGTGTCCTGCGCAAAGAGACTGGGCAGCCATTGTATCAACTCGCCGCGGGAGAGGACCTGGGCATGGATGTAAATGTGAAGGCACTTGCTGGCTAGGATCGACGTTGTGGCGAGGGAGAAGACGAAGGCGCGGTCGGTGATGCGGAAAAAGGACGTCAACGCAGAGGCCAGGCGGCGACCCGTGGCGATGCAGCGTCGGCCGGCCATGGCGGAAGCCTTGTCGAGGTCAAAGGCGGGATCGTCTTGGAGGAGCAGTCCCATGTTGAATTGGGGGGTGTTACTGAGCAATGAAGACTGGAGGCAACACCAGAGCAGAACGATGAAAAGAGAGAATGAACGAAAGAAGAGTATTAAAACGAGTGCAAGGTACAAAATTAGTTAGCTACCAAAAGAATGAAAAGGTAGAGACCGGAGAAGGGGGTGGGGGGGGGTAAGAAAATTGGGAAGAGGAGGGGAGTTATGCCAGATAAATTGGCGACGATGGATGAGAGCCTGGCAAACGGTCATGGGGAAGGGATCGACGGCAAGCTTGGTCGTTGGGTGGTGACAGGGAGGGCTAGAGAGAGCGCGGCAACGAGCACAATGCCAATGCGGTACGGTAGGTCTGCAACCAGAGAATGTTTCTAAAAACAATATTGAAACGAATAAGCTAGCTAGGTAGTTAGTCTAGTAAGCTTTTTCACATCTTTAACCTGACTAGTTGGCATTGGCATTGAGAAAGGAGGGTGGGTGGTGGGTGGTGGTGCTCCCTGACGTCCACTGTCTGAGCCAGTCGCGTGTTCACTTTCCACAAGGAGCCAAGCTGGGCCGCTCAGTGGACGTGGGGGCGTTTTTGGGCGGGTCTAGGACACGGGCGGGCGCTGAAGATCGGACAAGAGCGCTGTGCATACCTGGTACCTGTAATTCGTACTAACTACCTAGGTACCTAACCTTGCGCGAGCCCACTGCGAGGGAACATTCCAAGGGATGAATGACTTGAGATGATGATGATTGTTGCTTCGGGAGGATGATAATGGCCCTGCTATTCATCCTTTACGTTTCGAGGAACGATAATGATAAACAACCACCTATAACACACACGGCCCTTTTCCGTAACTATCACGCCTCTTTGCCCTCTTTGTCCGTTAGGGCTGCACAGCTCGCTCTCCACTATCACGAACCGCCAAACCGTCCTGGTTTCTGCCTCCGGATACGGATAGTATGTACCTCTCACGCCTCAACGCCTCAACGCCTCGAAGCCACAGTACAACTATTTTCACATTTCAGCAGTCCGTTTTCGCTCTCTTCCAGACCCAGCCCGTGTTCAGCCACAATTTCATCCCGTCAGTCTCGGCAGCCCTACCACTACCACACCCCCTTAACTATTTTTTTATTTTTCATTTTGTTTATTATCATTTTTTTCCTTTTTTTGTCGGACTCCTTTTTTTTCATGTGGGTCGGTCCCAGATATCCTTTCTTCAACCGCAACTCCTCCGTACCAGTCGCTACTATGTGCATACTCCGTAATTTGTACTATGAATAACTAACTGGCTCGTACAGCCCAAAACTTGGCACTCGCCCTCCCTCCCCCTTTCAATAATAATCCTGACTAGTTAGTGTGCGTCCCACGAATGCACATGACCGACACAAATCAACCAGACAAAGTCCTTCGCATCCTCTTTCCTCGTTTCGGCTGGCTCTCGGCTCCCCGATGCAGGCTCCCCCCTCGTCCCCTGCTAGCTCTACGCATCATCATGCAGGAATTGTCAAACCTTCGCCATTCTCAGTCAAGCTTCGCCGGGCCCCCGTTGGTGGCTTGCCCGTGCCGGGGCCCTGCATGAGCCAACTTGCCGGAAAGGGCTTCCTGCTTCCTTGCACTGTTCCTTGTAGTTAAGTTCCACGGCCTTGAAAAGCTGGGGGACGGCTGCCACTCACTCCTTCAATATCCGCCAACGTCTAGAACGATGCGAATTGGGCTTCTGATGAATCAATGGACTATGATTTCATAATACATAATAGCCCCTCTATATCCGCACCTTCTCCTGGATCCTCACGCGCCCCTATATCGTACATGAACGTACAGATTCTCTTGAACGCGCAGAAATACCCGGGCGAAACAGTGGCTCATTTTGTCAATATTATTGTCAATACATACAAACTGGTCGACTCCCAAACTACATTCGTACAAAGTAACCCGTCCCCAAGCTAACCATCGCAATTTCGTCTCAGCAACGCCATTCCACAGCTGACTCTCAGCTGACGGGCTTATTGGCCACACTCAACCCTGATTGGCTTGGGACAGAATAGGGTTGCGGGTGGCGTCCGAGATCACTCATGCTCAATCGGGTTGGAATGCTCAAATGCAGCAATCCCACACGCGACCGCCCTAGACAAACAACTCGGACAGTACGCAGCCCCTTTGACGGATGTTGCCGCCATCTCACAACACAACAGCTTTGAATCGGACAGTAACTATGCAACCCCTTTGACGGATGTTGCCGCCATCTCACAACACAACAGCTTCGAATCTTCCAGTCATCGGCAAGCCTAATGCCAAGGGACTTGCCTCGAAACAGTCTCGAAACAGCCTTTGCCTGTGTTTTCGAATCATGTGCAAAGTCATGACAACTATCAACATGGGCCAAACTCCAAATTTAACCAGAAAAAAAATGCCGCTTGATTATGCTACTATGCAAAGATGATACGAAACCCATGATGCCGTTGCTCATATAATGTCTCTACATTCCCGCCTCTTGTTATTGGCCCCATGTCCTGTCGCCCTCCACCACCAACACGCCATTTACAAGACGGCCTTGACTTTAAACTTGGTCAAGACGAGACGTGCCATCATGACGCTCGTCGTGCCCGCCAGCAGAAACACACCAGCATACACCTTGATGCCCACCAATCCACCTGGTTTGTCAATGATGGCACCCGCAATCGGCGTCGCCAAGAGGCCGCCCACCGACTGCGCCAGGCAAGCGACACCGTTGCGGTAGCCAATCTCGCGAATCGGCGACACCTGTGCAATGAGCGCGACAAGCAGCGCAATGTACGCCCCGGAAAACAGGCCAAACAGGGCCGCAAACGCAATCGTGGTCGCGTCGTCGGTGCCCGGAATCCACATGGCCACCACGAGCAGGCCGGCGACGTAGCACGACGCGATGAAGGCGTTGAAGCGGCCGAAGCGGTCGGCAAGGATGCCCGAGCTCAGCCGGCCGATGAGGCTCGCGCCGTTGTACACGGCCACCAGGTACTGCGCCAACTCCTTGGCCATGCCGCCGTCGACGGCGGCCGTCGGCAGGTAGTTGATGGGTGTGTACAGGCCAAACGGGATGAGGAAGAGGCCGCCGAGGATGAACATGAAGGGCATCTCCTTGAACGGCGCCTTCATCTGCGCGCCCGTGAAGCTCGTCTGCGGCGCAATCGACGTGCGCCGCCGCACCGTGCAGATGGAGACGACGAGCAGCGCGCCAATGAGAAACGCGCCCGTCCGCATCGCCCACCCGTAGCTGACCTGGTCAATGAGCCGCGTCACCATGATGGGCAGCACCACCCCGCCGAGGCTCGAGCCCGTGGCGAGCAGCCCAAACGCGAGGCCGCGCCGCCGGTCGAACCAGCCGCTGACGCAGGCAATCGCCGACAGGAAGACGGCGGCGACGCCGATGGCGCTGCAGACGCCCTGCGAGAGCAGGAACTGGTAGTACTTGGTCGAGATGGAGGCCATCATGAGGCCGAAGACGTGCAGGATGGAGCCGACGATGAGCAGTCGCTCGGGCCCGTACCGGTCAAAGAGCACGCCGATGGGCGGGCCCATGAAGGACATGAAGAAGATTTGCAGCGCGGGGATCCAGGAGATTTGGCTGGCCGAGTACTGTTTGAGCGGTCCTTGGGCGTAGTATTGCTGAAAGATGCCGACGCCTACACGGGGTTTGGTCAGAAACAACAACGAAGAAAGAAAAAAGGAAGAAAGAAAAAAACGTAAACAGGCATTGTAGGAAACGTAGGACGTACTGTTGATCCAGCCGTAGCTGCAAAATGATGCGCACCATGCGCCCAAGACGACGAGCCACGCCTCCATTCCGCCGTCCGGCGCCACGCCGCCTCCGCCCTCATCCACGGCCGTTGCATCACTGCTGTCGTCGAGCTGCTGCTGCTGCCGCTCCTCATCCGTGCAGCGCGCCGGCCTCTTCTCCGTCGGCGGGACGGAGACGGCGCCGTCGATATTGACGAAGCTGTTGCTGATGGTGCGCTCCAGGTCGTCCATGACGCCACTGTGGCGGTGGTGTTTTTCTGGTGTAACCGCGGACATGATCGGGAATAAGAACCAGCAGTAACTCGAGTTTGAAACCCCCAACAAAAGGGCGCGGCCAAGCAGTGTATATAACTGCCTCTGACACGACAAAAAGGTTACCAAGAAAGTTTTGGACTGGAGAGACGAGAGAGATTCATAACTTTGGCATCCTTTGCAAAAAGAAGAGATCAGAATCTTTTGGCCGGCAAAAAAGGGAAAAAATACACTTGCGGGGGACAATTACTTGGCAACATCAAATCCCCACATCGGCCGTGCGAAGCGCTCGAAAACGTGGGTTCCGTAGTCGACACCCCCGTGGGTTTTTACTGGCCAAAAGGACCAAAAGGCCGAAAGCGCGAGGCCGAGAAGAAAATTACCTGGGCTGATGGAACCCCCCCCCCGCACGTTCAACGAACTGGGCTGACTCGATATCCGAGACAAGCTCCCTCCGGGCTCCAGCTCCGCCCCGGGTTATTACCATCGGCGGTAGTTCCGCGAAACGAGTTGAATAGGCCGCGATGACTCTACATGCCCCTGTTTTCTCTCTCTTTATTGCAGATATTATTGTTTATTTCTGTCTATCTGACTGGAAGGAGCACCAACATGTTGCGGATAGAGAGGGGTGGATCGTGTCGCACCATGGCGTATTCGGCCGAACCATCACGGCATTCAACCCGTTGCATGAAATATGACTAATAATATGCCGTTCATCGTCGGATTGGTAAGCAAACCAACATGACCATTGGAAGACGCCGAGCAGAGTAGTGATCTTCTGGTACATCATCGGCTCCCTCCCTCGTCATTGTCTACTCTACGGGGGAATGTTGGGCTGCGTGAGGTAGCCTATGACTTCCCAGATGGTGAGTTCGTAGTCGAGGACGGAGGCACATGCATAGACCAAGTCCATTATGACAAAAAGAGGTAAACTCTCAGCGATAATGGCACTGTTCAGCAATCTTTCTGGCAAAGAATACAACAACTTGTATAACTGCTTTCACAATGGGTTGGTGTTGGCTCAACTTCGAAGAACAAAAGAAGGGACTGTTTTACTGCGGAACAAGTCACACAGAGATGAGCACCACATTACAGAATCCATGAGTAGCAAAAATATTGAACTGCCCATGTCAAGTCCGTACCGGTAAGAAACCAAGGCTCTCGGCCGAGGCCGCGGGAGACATGTATTGGTGGCGCTACCCTGCAGGCGCAGGCACGGACCGACCAAATCCTTCAAGGCCATGGTACGTTGAGGGTTCTGCCGGTTACCCGAGACCAAAGGCAGATGACTGAAAGAGGGTTGTTTCTCCATGCGATTTGCTGAGGTCTCTCTACATAAGGAGGCGCAAAAGCTTCGAAAGCTTCGTATGCCCCAACAGTGCTGCGACACAACGAGAGGTAGGGAGGTAAATTAAGCCCACCTCATTCGAGAAGAAAAACTGTCCCTAAGCTTTGATCTGACGATGGAATAAATATCCAGTACCACTCCTTCTTGCCCTTTTTTAAAGCCATCGTGTGAAAGCTTAGGCAGTGTTGGAGGACGAACTTCTCTCGCCTCCGGTGGAGAGATTTGCCGATGACACATTCGCCGTCGCTAGCCAGCCTGTTTTCTAACGCGATTCCAGACACGACATACAACTACATAAATTGAATCTCGTCGTCGTCTGTTCCTCTGTCTCTTAACAGCGATAACAGGCCGCCGTCTCGACTGCATTTGAAACCAAAACGGGACCGCAATCACAATGGCACCCAAACTCAACATCACAATCGCGCCGCTCAACTATGCCGACATTGACGCCTGCGCCAGCATCTCGCGTGACTCGTTCGCGATAGACCCTCACACCATTGTCAAGCAGCTGGGCCGCGACGGATACGACATGTACGACATGGCACACCGTAGCTATCTCGACAACCTGGAGCGCAGAAACATGGTCTTTGTCAAGGCCGTTGAAATCGATACAGGTGTCATCGTCGGCTACGGGGGCTGGGTCTTTCCACACGTCAAACAAGACCTAGTTCCGTGGGTAAGCCCGACGGATGCGAAGCCGGAAGAAGGAGCCGGAGAGGACACAGGCGGCGAAGTGACGCACGAGTCAAAATCTTCAACAGAGCCTGACGCCATTGACCGGCTACATGCCTTAGAGGACAAAGACATGCGCTATTTCCAGCACGAGCTCATTCCCGCCGGCGAGCCGTGCATGATCATCATGGGTGTCGCTGTTGCGCCGGCGCACCAGTCGCGCGGTGTCGGCAGCGCTCTGATCCAGTATGGCAACGGCATCGCGGACCGATTGGGGGTGTCCATATGGCTTCATTCCTCGCACCAGGCAGTGGAAGCCTATGGCAAGGGAGGCTTCGAGCCTGTCAGGATACTGGATGTCGACTTGGACGAGTATGCGCCGCGGCCACCTAGGGATGACGAGCCAGTCATGGGAGACAGAGGCAGCGGCAAATTGGGACACTACGTAATCAAGTATATGAAGAGAGCGCCCAGGAAAAGTTAGTAGAATCAATATGAAACGGATGAGACGGCAGCGGAATAAGGCAATTGCTTCTATCGGCTGGGTTTGTGACCAAGCTGCGGACAGCAAACAAGTAATAACGGGAATGAACCGAGCGCGCGCGACTTACGCAAGCATGCTGCTGCTGTAAGTCACTCCTCTTTGATGTCGTTTCCAAACTGTACAAACGCGGGTTGCACAAAGCGATTCGTTATGACCTGACTTCTGTCACGTTAGTTATGTGTCATGTCAAAAGGAGAGTTGGATGAGAGAGCCAGGGTCAAACAGTCAGTCACCTGACCGGCAGCAAAGAATAGGCGAGACAAACAGGTAGGTACGGTAGGTACCTGAGTTAGGCGAGACTTAGTCCTTTCAGTGGCTTCCAGTGGTGTTTCGTGAGCCACAGCAAGCCAACGTCGACAAAATCCCGCTAGCACAGTTTCGTCTAGCGCTGCCGATGCCCACAGGCAGAACATCGCCGCCGCCTAACCAGCCGCTGGGCCTTCTTCTCCCAACCCTTCCAGCCGCCTTCACCCACGAGCCGAACCTGATCACCACGTTTCGCCATCACCAGCTACGCTCACCCACTCTACCGACACTCACCTCATCACAAAATCATCCTGCACCTAACTACCCCCTTCTCAACTCCATTATTGTCCCTCAACCTCGACGCCATCCTGTCACACCACACTACTACATCGACGAGCCTCCCTTCCTCTCCTCTTCCAGTTCCCGCAGACAAAATCAGACCCTGCATCGCATTTTGGCCTTGCGCCCCTCCGTAATCACCGATTTCTTGACCAAAACCCTCTCCTCTCATCGATACAGCTAACAGACGCCAATTGCGCACCGTCTGAAGACCACGACCTGCCTCTCAGGTAGCTACCACCGACCAAACGCTACGTCAGATATCACGCGCTTCCTTCAACGGGCAGCATAAATTCGAGAAAGCAACCTTCTACCAGATGGGCATCGCGCGGCCCACGCCTGGACATGTTAATTCGATATTCAGCAGAGGCTCTGCTGCAACTGCGCAACTCTCCACTATGTGTCAGACCAGACAGCCTGCCTGCTGGTGATGAGTGGATGGGGTAAGTCCTAGCCGCTGCCGACATCTGTTTGCAAGCCAGCATCGCCATTAACATCTCGTCCTTTCCTACCCTCTAGCGCAACTGCAGAACAGACCCGAACTCAAAGTAAGACCCTCAGTGACAGACCACGCAATGACGATGCCTTCCCGATCGACCAAACCAACCGTCGCTCAGGAGCCGAGCGCCACATGTCCCGAAACAGCGCGAGTTGGTGTACCCCTGCCACGGGAAACTTGCCACAGTTCCAACTAACATTATCATTCTTCAGACCCAGATGAGATTGTATTTGCGCCTCAGCGAACCAACTTTTCCTCATCCCGAAGCAAACTCCTCGATGGAGACAAGGCTGCCAAGGAGCTAGAACACGGCCGATTCGGTATTCGCAGTTCCGAAAATGATCGTGCACGCGACGGTCGAGGCAACACGCTTCGCCGCCGCGGTGATAGTGACTTTGATGGCGAAGGGTGGAGCACAGTGAAGCCACGCAAAAGTTTCGGTGCCGATGGTGCAGAGCGCTTTTCTGGCAAAATGGGCGGCAACTATCGCGACGAAGTCAAATCGAGCGACCGCGACGGGAACAAAGATCGCCAAAGCAAAAACACGGATCCTCTTAGCCGCGACAAGGACAGGGATGCCGATGGCCGTGCTCGCAATGGCCTAGGCAGGAAATTGGAACCCTGGAACAAGTCGGAATCCAACGCCGATGCTGCCACGCCCGAGCGACGAGATCGTGACCGGACAAAGAGTTGGCGAGATCGCGATGCAGAGGCCTCCGCAGAAAACAACCGGGGCGGCGATAGACGCTGGGGAAGAGACCGCGATCAGCGAGCAGAACGCGAACCTGAATGGTTCGACGAACCTGCCAAAGACCAGCGCGATGTCCACACCCAACAGGACTTCCAAAAGTGGATGGAACAAATGAAGAAAGCTAAGAACGCTCAGGAGAACCAAGCCTCTGAGGCAGCCGAACCCGAGAAACCCGCCGCCGAGTCTACTCCTGTTATTGAACAGGGTCCGGACAAGTTTTTTATGGCGTTCGGTGGCGGATCTGCCATCGATACCCAGCGCCAGGTTGAACAGGCAGAAGGGACCAACAAGCCTAAAACAATTGGTAAATCGTCCCGTTTTACGTCATTCTTTGGCGGCGGCCAAGAAGAACCTCGCCAGCGTACAGATTCATCAACACCGGCGACAGCAGCACCATCGGTGCCTCCCGGATTCGGCATTTTTAGCGGGATGGCTCCCGTTAGCGGCCGCGGCGCATCTGCTGGTCCTGAGGACGAGAAGCAAGCGTTTGCGCAGTTGCTTGCCAAGTTGCAGAAGCAGACTGTGAGCGCCACGCCACCTGGTCTCTCAATATTTTCACCCCCGCAACAAAACCTCGGTGACAGTGGGAAGAAGAGCGCTGTGGTTTCGCCGGAGCCCTACCAGCAGCAATATGGCAATGAGCGCAGAGAAGGGCCTACAGCCAGACCCCAGCAGCAGCAGGAAATCCATGCCCCTCGTCCTCAGCAGAACACCGCCCGCCCCGACCAACTGCTCCAGGACCTTGTTGGTCACCACCAGCGCGCTTCTAGTCAAAGCTCATCACAGCGTGACCCCTCGATGAACAAGAACAACAGCAACGCCGAGTTCCTCATGAACCTCATGCGCGCAGGCCCGCCCAACGCCCAGCGCGCGGAGCACCTGCAGAGCATGATGGCGCATGGTGGACACTTGCAGCAAAAGCCGTCTTCCATGTCTCCCATGAATGAGCGCGACGTGCACGCCCATCAGCAGCAGGGCCGTCCCGGCCCGCCGCCAGGATTCCCCGTCCTCGACGATTCGTTCCGCTCGCCCGACCCTGAATTACGACCGAACCCGACGCAAATCCTCCAGCGACCACCACCTCCCCCGGGTCTGGACCATATGCCGCCCAACTGGCTGCCCCTTCCGCCAGGCGTCGGTCCGCCTCCTGGCCAGCGTGGCGGCGGAGGAAGCAATGGCCCTCCCATGCTTCCGCCTCCCGGGCTCCCGGGCGGCCCTCCCAACCGCAACATGCCCATGCCGCACATGTTCCCGCCCAACTTCCCCCCTGGTGCCATGCCGCCGCCACCAATGCCCGAGATGCGCGGCAGCATGCACATGGCTCCGCCGGGCTTCTACAATGCGCCGCCGCCGCTTCCTCCCCACCACGGCTTCGGCCTGCCGCCCGGCATGCCCAACTACAACGGCCCGCCTCCGCCGGATCTGCGCGCCTTTGGCAGCCCGCCCTTTGACGGACGCGGCATGGCCCCCCCGTCGCAAGCTGGCGACCGCAACGGTGGCGGCTACGGCCGTCAGTAAGCCCATCTATGCCAACTCTTTGTTATCCTCTTTACCCCCACCCCCGGCAACATATGGGTCAGTCATTGCTGCACTGAATGAGACGGTCTTAAATTATGAACCACGGAAAGGGCAGGAGAAGAGTGTATAAGGAATGCTCCGGGAAATTCAATGATGTATCTTATTTTGTTTTGCCTTGCTCTAAAAATTTCCGGAACGGGGGGAAATTGTAGAGAATGAAAGCTTTTTGAGCTGACGAGATTTTCCTTCTCTCTGTAATACCGTGCCTACTAACAATATTTCCTGTTCGACTTTTAGTAGCTCCCCCCCGGCTTAAAGGGCATGAGGGGGGGGCACGATGAAGTGTTTGTTCTCGCCGCTCGAAAACAGAAACAACATGAGACATACGACGAGGTAAAGATAAATACAAGACTTCATTGTCAGCTGTGCGCCATAAATCAATAATGTGATGCTTTATTGTGAGTCTTGTCCTTGTGATGAAAACAGCGCGCGTGATATACTGCATAAAACAAACCACTGACACGTGGCTGTTCACAAACAGGACAAGTATTATCCACTGTCCTCCCTCAACAACGCTCTTGTTTTCACCGCTTGAGTGTTAAACACCTTGTCTATTCCAACTTTGATGAAGCCCGCCGTGCTTCATCTCGGCCTCACCCACGCTTCCTTCGCACCGACGACCACGAAAACGACTTCTTGCGCCGCACGGCCGCCGATTTCTTGACCGCCCCGTCCGACGAGCAGCGCTTGACGCCGTGCACAGCAATCGCCGCGGCCGTCGTCGCCGTCGTCGACGGGACTGCTGCTGGCGCTGACGCTGGCGCTGGCGCCACCGCCGCCGTATCATCGTCTTCCGACCCACCCAGCACGGAGTTCCCCCTCAGCCGGAGAGAGCCCTACTTCTTCATGCCCAGAAAGTTTCTCCGCTTCTTCTCCTTGTGTAGCTTGCCGTCAGCAGCCGGCGGCGGCGGCAGTGAGGGCGGCGCCTGGGGTAGCCCGCTGCCGTTGCTGGGCGGTACGGGCGGGTGGTTCAGAGTCATGCTGCCCATGGCCTGTGTGGGCGGCGCGGGGGCTTTGCTGGGAGCAGCGTTGGCTTGTCCGGGCCGGATAGGGAGGCCGCCTTGCGGCAGAGGCGCACGACCGCTGCCGCGGCCTTGTTGCATCGGTGCTTGTCCGGGTTGTGGTGGTTGCGCGCCGCGGGGTGGCGCGGGACGCTCGAGCAGATGAGCGGGTGCGCGGGGCTTGGGTCTATCGAGTGGCAGGTCGAGTTGGCGCTTGTCGCGGCTCAGGTCGCCGACTTGGCGGATAAAAAATTGCGGTGTCAACATGTGTGAGGTGACGAGGACAATATCGCGGCTGTTTTGGCTGCCGACGTCGTAGCAGACACGACTCTCGCTGTACGTCGCGCCACCAGCCATGAAGACAATGATGCGCTGCTTGTTCTCGGGCTGCCGCCGTCCGGCCGCCGCCCAGTTTGGTCGTCCAGCGCGGAGCGACGTTCCCTGTGCCGCCAGAAGTTCCTCGTTCGGGTCCAAGGGCGGCTTCACGTACGGGAACAACCCTTGATCTAAACCGCCCTTCACAAGGTTCTCGAGTAAGGGTTTTAGCGCGGGTTCGAAGCGGGATAAAAACGACTCCTCATTCAGCTGCGACGCCTTGGCATCTTTTGGGAACAAGGCTGCGTACGGCCGTCGCTGCTCCTTGAGCTGGTGATTGACGGAGCCGCCCAGAAGCTCTAGGTTGCTAATGACCTCGCCATCTGAGAGGGGTAGACCGGCATGAGCCAGCAGTTTCTTAACGTCTTCCATGATGATGCCTCCGCGGAAGAGAGTGTACATGATAATGAGCCGTAGTCTGTCCATGGGACGGATCGCTTCGTCGTCGAGTAATCGGACGATAGATTCCAATACATTTTTCGGTTTGCGGAAATCCTCGTCGATACCTGTGGCAAGGGTCTGCTCTGCCGAGGCAAGATCGGGCAGCTTGTTCTGCTGGAAAATATTCATGCACTCCTGTGCCATGGTAAGGTGCAGCGAGTAAGCCCCTTTCATCTCTTGAAACTGCGGCAGCCCGGCCAGCATGTCTCGAATTGCGCTCAGGTTGGTAGGATCGGCGTTTTCGTTGGTAAAGTGAGGGTTTTGGTCGAGGAACTTTTGAAAGTCGGCCATTAGCTTATCAATCGTGTCCTTCATGTGGCGATGACGGTTGTCGACCCAGACCTTGTCCTTTTCGGACAGTTCCATTTCTTTCGCTTCAGATTCTTCTGTGTTTGCATTGATAACGGTGTGGTATGTGACCTTGTCACCCTCCTTGATGGGCAGTAGGTCGTGTGCCATGGCTTGGTACGAGAACTCGTGGACTAGAGGAGCCATCAGGTCCATGGCGCGATCCGTAACGAGCAATACGCCCTGAGGCCGGTTCGTTTGAGGCGGGAAGCTAGTGTTATACTTGGCGTAGCCGTCGAGCTCTTCCTGCACAAAGCGCGCCAGGTGGCCGCACAGGACGCTCGCTTCGTGGATCGGATTGCGCGGCTGGTAGAAGCGGACTTTGGGATATTCGCCAAGTGTGATGCATACGCCGGCTATCTGGACTTGAAATCAGCGATCCAATCATAACACGGACAGGCGCCCTATTCTCTCCAGGGTTACCTTTTGTGCCAAAGTTTGCATGTGCGTGCGGACCAGGTTGTTGCAGGCCGGGTGGTAGAGCATGGGAAAGCTCCAGGGGTCGCGAAAGATGACGAGGTGCGACTCGCGGGGGTAAAAGTCGCTAAAGAGCGTCTTGGAGCTGGCGCGCAGCTGGCGGATGCCGGGAAAGTCGTCAATGCGCCGTCGCAGCCCCGGCTCGAGCAGGCTGGTCCAGACGAGGTAGGCCCTGCGGTACCGGCGGACCTCAAAGTCGGCGAGGAGGCAGTCGACAATGTGCGCGTCGGGGGTCAGGATGTAGACGGCATCCATGTCGGGGTTCGGAGCGCGGCGCTCCTCGATGCGCTCGATGGCTAAGGTGCCGCAAGGCGGTTAGCTGGGTGACGGGCGGGCGCGGGGTCAGGGCAGAGGGGGAGCGACGGACTGGCAATGTTGACGTTGAGAATATCATCTTCCTTCATGCAATTGTCGATGACTTTTTTCGAGAGTTCGTCCACGATGAGGGATTTCCACTGCACACTCTATGATTAGCGAGACGTTGGTTCTTCAAGGCAGTCGAGACAAAGCGTGTACATCGCCTTGGGTGATGCTGCGGATCTCGTTGAGGATCACTAGACGAAAGAGTCAGTCGGCTCATTTGCAGCGCAATTTCCTTCTCGTGGCGGGATTGACGGTACCATCGTGCTGTTCTTGAATCACCGACAGCCCCATGTTGTCGGAGCTGCGTCTCGCGTACGCTCTGGTCTGGGGGGTGGCTGAGGTGTGTGTCGCTGGCGGAGGAGGCGGTGATGTCACGGACAGGCCCGTCGAGAGCGCCAGGTCAGCGACAAAACAGTGGCGTGAGTCGGGGTCCAGCTCGGTTGATCACGATGGCTTCAGGCAGAAAAATAAAAAAAGGGTTGGCAAGATTGAAAGAGGAACAATAGATGGGCAGGCTGGGATAGGCCGAGGCGGATCTGCGGGTATGCAAGATTCAAAAACAGGAGGCTGCTGCTCTCGGAAGGAGGGTTTGGCGGGGTTGGAGGTTGTAGTTACAGGTACTCGTCGTTATTAGTGGGTAGGTAGGTACCTTGTACAGTGGGTGTAGTTACAGCAGCGCCATGCCAGGCGGCGGGATGAGGCCAACCCAAAGCCCAAAGTGGCCCGGTACACGCAGCCACAAAGCCTGAAAGCGGCTGGGCTTTAAACAATACAAGCCAGATTTACTCTAAAATTATGCAGGGTATCTCTCCAATTGTTGCCGGTCCACCAGGTATCGTCAGCGCCTGCGATGCGCCCAAGCTCTCTCGCATGCCCCCGCCACCAACCTCTAGGTATTGATCATGAGGTCACCGACGAGCTCCCAAGCTTTCCCTCTATTTGGCTCTACGTGTTAGCTAAGTATTGCAGAACAGTTTGTGGGAGAGAAGCATATCATTTTTTTTATTTTGTTTTTGGCAGAACAGTCGCGTTTACTCGCTCCATCACTTCAACCTGCGCATCATGTGTCAATCTTCAACTGAAACGCCTGTGTCAACCATTCATGCTCCTCGTCCACTGACTGGCCACCCTGCCTCCATTAAGTTATATACATTTATGCCCCTTGTACCCGCGCTTTCCACCCACTCACTCCCACTCCTTGCCGTCTCCCTTCAAGTACCTGTCGAGATCCTGCCGCCCATACACCTCGGCCTGCCAGCGGGCCGCCCGCGCGCGCTCCCTGGCCGCCCGCGCCTTGCGCTCCCCCGCCGTCAGCTGCCGCCGGGCCTCCCTGGCCTCCTCGTCCGCCCTGGCCTGCGCCGGCGTCTTTTCCGGGAGCGCGGCGCCGACGCCTAGCACATCGTCCTTGGGCCGTGCCTGGATCGGGTACCGCGTGCCCTCTCCGCCGACGCGCCCCAGGCCGACGCGCGCGTCCGGGTCCCAGCCGTGCGCGGCGAG